GCCCGCCCCCGTGCCAGTTGTTGCGGACGACGCAGCTGCAGACGAAGTCGAAGAAGCGCCAGCACTACTAGGCCCCGTCTTCATTGCCGCAGTGCCAATGGCACTCGACCTGGATGCGGTCTTCCGGTGGCTATCCTGCGCTGCGACCGAAGAAAATGAGTCCCAGAAATCCTTCCTCTCCGGTTCAACACGGCCTCTCCGTGCCGCGGCTGCCGCTGCAGCTTCGTCGGGTCCTTCCACGAAACGATGGAAATGGTCCGCTGCGCCACGGACGCCGTGTTGCATGTTTTGGCCAAGGGTGGCAGCGTGAACGCGCGCTTGTGCTGCAAGGTCGGATTCTGCTATCTAAATGGTGGACAGGTCATCAGTTACTGGCCCGTAGCGAATGGGAATGAAAGATTCATGGGGAACGTACCGTCTTCGCCGTAGGCTGGATGTACGAATCATTGACTGTCTTCGCGCTCTTCCCTACAGTCGTTGCAAACCATCCGAAGCCCTTCGTCAACGCACCCATGGGATCCTTCTGGAAATCATCGAAACCTGGAATTGCCGCCCCACTACCTGACTGTTTGGGAATGTTTGTAACCGGCATTCCGCCCCCAAATCCGGTAAACTTGCCTCCCTGCGATGGAGGTACCGATTCCGAGCGCGAGGAGTTTTCGTTACCCAGCCGAGCAAAATACGCCTCGTTGCGTTCCTTCTTGCTCATCTCCGGCACCCCGTCGTGCGATGCCGGGGATCCGGTCCGGGCAGCGAGGGGCGTGCTCGACCGAGATGTTGGTTCCTTATTCTTCGGTTGCTGCGGTTTGGGTTGGCCCGGAACGTATTCTCTTCCTTCGGCTTTTGCAGCCAGTCTTTCCTTCCACTCCTCGCCCACCTCGCCCTCGTATCTCTCTTTTATAGTGGAGTCTTCGAATGTGCGACCTTCGGATTGCGTGATGGGGTGGGAATCGAAGAAATCCTTCCACGGCTCGTTACCACCGTGCTCCATGCGGAGAATCTCGGAAGTCTTGAAGGCGTCCATGGTGATAGAGCGGACAAAGGAGATGTGAACACCTAGGCCGCGGTGTGTGCCGGCGCAGTTCAAGCAGATGAAGGTGCCGAACTTAGGGGATGCCTGGGTGTAGAGTTTGTGTCAGTGATGGTTGTATGTGGGCGTATTGTCGGTAGGTACGGTTGCGCGAATCGTGGCGACAGTGCCGCGCACGTCTGGGGATAGAGGACTCATACCCATTGGGGCGAAGGGGCGCCGCAGTCGCAGCATTTATCGTTGCCATTGGTTTTGGAGAACTGGAGGAGCTAGAGGGGGAGAGCAGATCCGGGGCAGTCAGCGTGTGTTGTCCAAGGCTCCGACGTCGACACAGAGGCAGTGGCAGAAACAGGAGATGGAGGGGTGACGATGGCATACCTTGGCCCTCGTCTCCGGATCGACCTCCCACATTCGCGACATGACGAGTCAAGGATAATAAGAGCAGGAAGCACAGATGAAGGATGGGAATAAGACGGGCAGCAATTGCTCAATGCTCCCCAGCCCCTGGATGCGGTGAGAGATCGGGGAGGTTCAGCAGCGAGAAAGAGAGGGGCCGATCGGAGGGGAGAAGAGGCACTACCCTTAGCTTCTGTTAGTCTCTCCACCCGCCAGATGAAACTCAACCTGTCGGGTCCACTTTTAACAGTAAAAAGTAGATATCGCAACAGGCGAAACGAGTGAGGCTGGGTATGAAAGTTGAGAAGGGATAGTAGTGTCCAGGGTGCAATTAATGGAAGGCGGGATTTGGCTGCCGAGGATGCGGCCAGCAGTTCCACTCGCTGTCCCATGGCTCCAGCTCAGCCAACTGTGGTACCCATTGGGCTTCAAACGGCATCTCTACACCAACAGGGTGAAGATCCACTGCTTCCATATTTATCTGTTCTGATTCATATAAATGACATTACCAACATCCTGAAGAGTCGGTTTTGTCACTGCTGTATCTAGAAGGAAATCAGTAATATCAGTAACGGTGACTAAGGTAGAGCAATTGTCGGTTGACTGTGACTTTGGCAAGCCTTCAATACGTTCTGTTACAGAAGGAGATGGCCATCGCATGAGAAGCAGAAGACTGTGGAGTAGAAGAGTCGAGGCCCAGTGCAATTGCCGGCCACCGTAGGGACTTGGCTGGCTTCAAAGCTGTGTAGTGATTAGTTGCAGCCGATTTCTTTGTTGGAGCTGACCTCATTCCAAGACCCCTTCAGCCAGTGCATTGATGGCAGAAGAGTTCGTTGTTGATTTGTCTTGGACGATAAAGTGCGACGCGATGGATTTTGCATTGCCTGAGAGCGAAGTTGGCTACTTGAAATAGCAGACCACTTTCGGACATGAACCATTGCTATATGCTTACAATCCTTATGGCTGAATCAACGAATATTTGCTGGAAAGCTTCATGTCTGCGAAAATAGAGAAAGCGAAGCATTTCTCACATACGATCGGATCGCCTGCCAAACAACTGGGAGTATGTGCACAGCGTTCATTAGGCCAATACCCAAAGCCATTGCGTGATTTTCGAGCGACTTTATAACTCATTCCATGTAAGTTATAACCTATCCGCAATTCTATAGTATAGTTAGTAGCTGTCAGTCACTTGAGATGTTGTAGCAAGAGATGGCAAGATGAAGCGATCAATGGCATGGAGTGAACAAAACGCTCGAGCCACGAGCATTCTCATATGACACTATTGGCATAACTAGTGCTTATGTTGAAATTAAGCAACTCAATCCTTAGAGCATGAGTCACTTCGATAATGTGATTTCGCCAGATGGTGGCATTATTGACTTTTGGAAGTTGGATCCACCGATAAGGAACCACATTTATGGCTGGCAATTGAAATGACAGGCACCAAACTTCCCTAAATAGCGCGGTTCCGGACTCCGGCGGGCGCTAATCAGGCCCGACCGTTGCCTGCTTTGTCCCTTGCCGCCGGAGAGCTTATTTACCCTCTTATCTCTCCTCTTCCTCCACAAGCCTGACTCAACACTTCACAGCTCACAGCGCCGTAGTTCAGCACCTACATATTCACAGCAACTTGGTTCTTATCATGAGGACATCCCATCTTTTGCTCCTCTGGAGCACTGCAGGAGCTTTGGCTTCCCCTCACCCACAGCCGGACTCGCAAGTAGTTTTCGCCGCGGATCGCGAGGTCCCAAAGACGACACTCGGCGAACACGTCGTGGACGAGGCCATCGTCTCGGCCTTGAACACTTATTCCGACCCAGTTGCTGCGATGGTGTCTTTACGTCCCGAAACTGCAGCTCTTTTGGCTGAACCTCGTCTCTTGCACATTCGGGGCGAAGAGAAGGCGGAATGGATGACTGAAGGCGACAAGCTGCGCCTCCGCCAACGCGGTCAGAAGTTCGTAGACATCACCGACCATCAGGACTTTTACACAGAGCAGGCGATGGCTTCGATTTCTGGGGATCCCAGTAAGTCTTCCTTTTTGGCACAGTAATCATTGTTGGACTAACGCCCTCAGACCTTCCCAAGCTGTCCCATAAAGGTCTCGTGAAGCCGCTGTTCTCGCAAATTGAGACGCAACGTATGCACGATGTCCTGCAGCACATGACCTCCTACTACAACCGATATTACGGTGACTTCCACGGCGAACAGAGCTCTGAGTGGCTGCACGACCATATTGCTGAGGTATTTCCTGCCCTACAGCCACAATCCTTGGATATGAACTTACTGAACCAAGATCATCTCCAACTCGCCTTTCCGCACCCACATCTCTCTCGAATACTTCACCCACCCCTTCCCCCAATCTTCAATTATCGCACGCTTTGAGCCTAAAGTCCGCAGCTTCTCTCAGCCTTTGACCATCATTGGCGCGCACCAAGATTCGGCCAACTATCTCTTTCCGCTGTTGCCCGCGCCTGGCGCTGACGATGACTGCTCTGGCACTGTCAGTATCCTCGAGGCCTTCCGCATTCTGGCCGAGAATGGTTACACGCCCAAGGATGGACCTGTGGAATTCCACTGGTATGCAGCTGAAGAGGGCGGGCTACTGGGCAGTCAAGCTATTGCGCGGTATAAGAAGGAGCAGGGTGCTAAGATCGGTGCCATGATGGAGTTTGTAGGTCATCCAACACTTTGTTCTTCCGTTTTCAATACTAACATCTGCAAAGGATATGACGGCTTTTATTGCCCGTAATGCCACTGAGACCATAGGCTTTGTTGCAACCCAAGCCGATGCAGCGCTCACAAACTGGACGGTCAATCTCAGTCGAGAATACATTTCTATTCCAGCAGAAGTCTATGAACTTGGCCCGTAAGACCCCAAAGTATCCCCGGAGATACGCCAGGTACTGAGTGATTCATCAGGAACGCTGGATCCGACTACATGTCCTACACCAAGCTCAACTACCCCGCTGCCTTTGCCTCTGAAGGCAACCCGCTCGCTGGGGGTTCTTTCCCGGGTGAAATGGACCCCTATGTTCACGGCATCAAGGATAGGATGGACGTTGACGATGAAACGGGCGTCTTCTCTATCGAAGTAAGTTGGCCGCAGTCCCCCTGTCCATATCTTGCTGACGATTTGCCAGCACATGGCTCGGTTCTCCGAACTGGCTATCGCGTTTGTTGTCGAGCAGGCTGGGTGGGATAATTCATGGAGGTAGAGCATATTCAGAAGGATTTCCAGTTTCATAGCATGTAGAGCTGCTATTAGAGCTGCTATATAGTCATTATATTTACAACATACCAATCTATTGGTATTGAAGTACTTTGTCAGAATGGTGTCCAATCTGAAACTGATGCACCATGATTTAATGTGTACACTAGTAGCCATGACCAAAACAATATCCACGTATAAACACACCTGACTATCAACCTGCTGCATACGAATCAGAAAGCATCTGTCACACCATGCATTAAAGGGATGACTAATGCCCCGATCACTCAAATCGCGAATGTTTATGTTACGCCCTTGTTATCTCCTACTTCAATGATTCCATAACCGCTTGTGATAAACATGCGCATATATTCGCCCCCATTCAAGGCGATCCGGAATACCCTAGCAATATGGCCGGCAAAGACAATTCCAGCACCCCTCTCGAGCCGACATTCCTCCCATCAACATCACTACCAACCTCATCTTGATAACATCATCGGAAACCCCAAAGACTTCTTCCGATACACCAGTGGACGATGGCTCTGGGATGAAAAGCAGCAGCTTCAAGAGAGATACCGTGAATTTAACATCCTTGAACTGCAGAAAATCGCCATACAAGCGTCATCTTCTAAATCCTGTCTCAGTATGGGGAAAATAGGGGAAGGATCATATAACAAGTCTTTCAAGCTCATCATGGACAATGGGAAGACGGTTATCGCTCGGATACCAAATCCGAATGCTGGACCGGCATATTTGACAACTGCTTCTGAGGTTGCTACGATGGATTTTGTGAGTTTCTTTCACCTAGTGGTCTTGCTAATGCGCCCCTTCATGCTATTGATCTGACTTGGGTTCCAGTTGAGGACCATACTACACATTCCAGTTTCCAAAGTCCTTCAACTCGGCTGTTGATTCTACGAACAGTATAGGGGCCGAGTATATTGTCATGGAACATGCACCCGGAAGCAATCTTGCAGACGTTTGGACGGACACGGACCTTGAGCATAAAGTCCAAACGATGGAGGATATAGTTAGCATCCAACAGAAGCTGCTATCCTTGAGATTTTCCGTGTTTGTATACCCATCATCAAGGAACCAACTTTTGTATGCCTTCTAACATCAGCAGATACGGTTGTCTTTTCTATAAGACAGACGCGCCCCCTGGATCTCAGCCTGCAAGAGTTGTCGGAGACAACTGTCCGCCTGAAGTAAGGCAGAAGATCTCTGAGAAGTTTTCCATTGGACCAGTTGTAGATCCAGCCTTTTGGAGCAACGGACGAGAAAGCATGGATATTGATCGTGGACCATGTACATTTCCTGTCGGTTTCTCATATCTGACCTCCCCTGCTAATCAGAACAGGGACTTCCGCACTCGACTACATACAAGCCCTTGCCAATCGAGAAGCATCCTGGATTGCTAAACACGCAAAATCACGCTCCCCAAACGATCCCTTGTTCACCTCCCACAGTCAAAACAATCCCGCAGAACACATCTCCCTTCTCCGAAAATACCTAACCATCTCTCCCCACCTAATCCCACAGGACAAAGACATCACAGGGTCATTCCTATGGCACACAGACCTCCGCACCCCCAACATCTTCGTCGACGACAACGGTCACATCACCAGTATAATCGACTGGCAAAGCACCTGGACAGGCCCATTGTTCCTCGAAGGCCGTCACCCGCAATTCCTCGACTACAACGGACAAATAATCCTCAAACCACCTAAGAACTTCAAGCACCTTGATACAAAAACCCAAAGAGACCTCCGAGAACAGATCTCCAAATTAATCGTACTTTACCTCTACGAGAAAAACACCGCGAAGAACAACCCACTCCTCGACAAAGTCCTCTGATACCCCAACGGCAAGATACTAACCCATCCGATCCACTTCGTGGGAAATACATGGGATGGAGATATCTTACCACTACGGGAATCACTAACACGGATACAGAAGTAAGTACCATTATCTCCCCCCTACTACTCATACAATACTCAAACACATATAAAGGATCTGGACTTCCCTAAAAGACACCACAAAAGAATGCCCCATCACCTTCACCCCCGCCGAAATCCACCAACACCACCAAGACAGCGAAGGATGGAACGAAGTACAGGATTTCTGGGACGCAATGTCCGGAATCCTCAGTAGGGATGGCTGGACCTCGCACGAGACATACGATCAGGCGGTTTCTATCTATTCTCAGCTACAGGCTATTGAAAGGGAATGTTCTTCTTCATAGTCAAGACATGATGTATAATAACTGACAGACACTCGTTCCCAACTCCACTGCACCTAATAATTTTGAGCAATATCGATCTCATTAGGAAAGATGGCGAGACTGCCCACTACCCACCAACCTCTCCACAACATCTCCATCCTCAACCCCTTCTATCTATCTATCCTGATTTAAAACCACAATCACGCGTCAGTCCAATTACAACAAAAGAAACGAGAGAGAGAGAGAGAGAGAGAGAGAGAGGCCCCATCCATCCATCCATCCATCCATCCCACTATTCAGTAAGTAATACTTACCTGACTGACCCTACCTAGACATCCGAACTACAATTGACTAACTAACTAACTAGTGATTAAGAGAAATATACAATAATATCCAAATAGTTCTAGAACCAATGAATCCAAAGATCCATGCACTACAGCAGTAATACCACATCTACTAAAACCAGTAGAAATCATGGTATATTGAACTTCGGTGCCACACTAGTAGCTACTAGAACTGAACTACTAGTGATAGAGACTGGGGAATCTCCGTATTGATCGCTGTGTGATTGATTAACATCCCTTTCCTCTCCCACGCTGGCGGTGCTAATCCAGGCTGGGATTACATACTAGTACTTCGTATGTGGGGAGGTGGCATAGGCGATGTGTTCTGTTACTACGGTGTTTAGTTAGATCTACAGAATCCAGGGTATCTAGTGAGAAACTATCAAGTAAAATGAAGCGAGGAATGGATTGGATATTCATGACTGAGTACGGGCGTGGAAAATACTACGACAAACACATGCACAAATACTACAAGGCCAGCCTTGCGGCTAATCATAAGCTAAATAAATATTGCTAAGATACAGTGTGGCAGAATGGCAAGATTCGTGAGCAAAGGTCAGGTTCCGTCAGACAAACACATTACGGCATTTTCATCTCCAACAACGAATCCCTTTCGGGTATCCGGATATAACATATAATGAACCCCCTAGGACCAGATCAAATAGGAAGAATAGTCAAAGGTTTTCGGCTTTAGAACTTTTCCTTTCTGCTCTTGCGCCTTTCTCCCCATGCGGAAAAGAAATTGGCCTCCTAGCGACGCCCACTATGAAAAACCATGCAGATGACGGGTCCCGACTTCACCTCCTCCAATCGATCCCCCGAGTTTCCACGGGGGTGTGTTCGTTCAGGTGGGGAACGAGATTGTCATTTAAGCAGCAGCGGGAGCAGCGTTCTCCTGAGCCGGAGTTTCGGTCGCCTGCTCAGTAGTCTCGGCCTCAGCAGGGGCGATAGCGTCGTCCTCCTTGCCGGGGCTGTCGATGGCGACCTTGACGGCGATTTCACGACCCTCAATCTCCTTGCCGTTCATCTCCTGAACAGCCTTGTTCTGGAGCTCCTCGGAGCCCAGGGTGACGAAACCGAAACCACGGCCCTTACGGCGCTCGTTGCGAGCCTGGAGCTTCTTGATCATGAAACGGGGAATGGGACGAAGAGCAATCTTGGCAGAGATGGGCTGGTAGTCGGCAAAAATCTCCTTGAGCTGTGGGGAAATTAGCATGTTGCTGTGTTTTGTGACTTCATCGTCCGTACCTTGTCTTCGGTCAGGTCATAAGGAAGGTTAGCGACCATGACCTTGGTCTTGGAAGGAATACCATCCTCGGGAGGACCGCGCTGCTTCTGGGGACGAGGAGCACGGGGCTTACCGGCCTGCTTGGACTCGGCAGCAGCAGCGGTCTCGTTCTGGTTGGTGACCTCAGTCAGAGGAGCAGCCTGACCGGGAACGTTGGTGGGCTCGGCAGCCTCCTGACCGTTCTGAACTGGGGCCTGCTACATGGGATATTAGCATTCAATTGGATGGGAAATAATTGACGAGTCACTTACAGAGCGACCAGCACGGGGCAGACGGCCTCCACGACCACGACCGCGACCGCGGCCACGGCCACGGCCACCAGCCCGCTTGCGGCCCTCGTTACCGCTGGCACCCTCACCGCCACTTGTAGCACCCTCGGCCTTGGCCTCGGCGGGCTCGGGCTTGCGGGCAAGCTGCACAGAGACCTTGCGCTGGAGGATCTCCTTTCCAGACAGCTCCTCAATAGCAGCGGTGGCCTCCTGGGCAGTGGCGAGGTCCACGAAGGCGTAGCCAACGGGACGGTTGGTGCGAGGGTTCACGGGGATGGAGACGCTCTCACTGTGAAAGAGGCATTGTTAGATTCGGTGTTACTTCCCGCATAAGAATGTAAATAATCAAGGGGGTTTCAGAGATGGAGCTCTGAAGAATTGGCGTGCCTGCAGTAGTAGTCACATACCACTGCTGCGCGGTATTACCGTCGGATGGCAGCAAGGGGTGTAGGAAACGTGGCTCTCGCCGGCCCCCCGAATCGCTTGGACCAGCCCCAACGGAGCTTAGACCAACCGGGAGGTGAAAGGCCAGGTGGAACAATAACAAAGCAAAGTAACTCGAAAGACTTACATCTTGTAGTTCTTGAAAAACTCCTTCAGCTCCCCCTCAGTGGTCGCATAAGCGAGGTTCCCAATGTACAACCGACGTCCTTCATCGGCACTGGCAGCGGCAGCGTCCGTGGACTGCGCAGGGGCGGGAGCAGTGCCGTTGGTAGTAGCCTCGGGGGCGGTAGTGGCGGGAGCAGAGGCGACGTTGTCGGTAGTGTTTTCGACGGCAGTAGACATCTTGATGGCTGAGGACGCAACGGAGTTGAGCGTGGAGAGAATTGAACGGTGGTTTGAGTTGCGCGCGGGGAAGTCTTGACCGGGTTTGTGTGCGGTTAAGACAAGGACTCAGGAGTAGCTAAAGGCTGCCTGTACTTGAAATTCCTTTGAAGCAAGTGGGAATGGGAATAGCTTGAAGAGGGGGGGGAGATAGGAGGAAAAGGGTAGCTTGGTGCCCTAGATACGAGAGTTGACTTGGGGGAAATCTGGTATTGAAACTGATGAAGATTTACCTTGAGAGGAAGGATGAAGTCGACGGGGGGGGAAAGGAGAAGGTGAGAGAAAAAGGGCAGGCAGCGAGGGCGGTGGCGGGCCTATGCCGAAGGGGGCAGGTTGCTGCCTGAAGATGCCTGGATCAGCCCAGATCTGCCTGAAGATGCCTTGGAGCTGGCCAGCCGTACCAGTTCCGTACGACGCTAGACTGCATTGGGGTGCCCGACGTGGACTTTCCGTCCGGCGGTCTGGGCGGCCCTCAGGCACCTTCCCTGGAGCAGTTTAGACGCGATGGAGCAGCTGGAGCCCTTTGCAGGGGATCTGACATCACCGGTTGTTGACTCACTCCTTCATGAACCTTCTTCGATTAACACTAGTGGTTGTTGGGGAGAAACATCGTTGCTTCCTGAACAACTTCCCTCCCACGTGAAATACTACACTCCCAAAAAAACAAAACAATGACAATGATTTGTAGGGAATACACCTCCTCAAATTTACAACACAATGGTATCATTACTGACTAACTAATTAATTGACCTGCAGTCGCCAGTTCATCCTTAGCATTAGTCAGGCTGCCCGCGAGCCCCATCCCCACTTGCCAACCAACTTGTATCTGGCCAGATCGCCCTCTCCCGTCATCGCCACTCCATCCATTTCCACCCGGCAGTTCCCCCTTCGTCCCAATCAGTTGCTCCCCTGTTTGTTGATGATGGTCGTAGTAGTACCGGCAATATTTCACCCAATTGAGGCTTCAACTCCTTGACTGTCATCACTCATTTTCTTCTTTATTGTAGCTCAAACTTGGGGTCTGGGAAAGGCTCGATCAATCAACTGCAGAGTGTCGTCTGTCACTCCTGTATGCATCCTGCAAACCCGATTTTCCCCCCTGCAGCCGAGACATCAAGCACATGACGCACCCCGTCAATCACCCTTCAACCAATCTATTTCCGTTCCACGAAATCGCCCGACTCCCGCCCAATCCCAAACAATCCCCATGATGTTCTTACCTGCAACTGCCCGGGAAGTTCCATTATTGGCCTCGAAGTATTAGCGACCTGTATTTTGGACAGTAGGGGATATATATTTTTGCGCGCAATGCGAACATACATCAACACTGAGTATCCCATCTTTGATAGTTATTTGTTTTGACTTATCATACCACCATAGCACTAATTAAATATATTTTGGCATTAACCTCTTCACTTGTCAGCATGTTTGGGCGATTTATTTGGTACTGCCTGCCAACAAGTTACTCTAACCTTTTAGTTTCATTTTCCCCTCTTTACCCCTCCCACTGTTCGGATCCTTACAACAAATCCGGTAGTAATATTTCATCTCTATATCATTCATAACGGCATTCCAGTTACACTGCAGTCTTATACTTTCTTGTACGGGTAAAAAACCATTCAATGCCTCGATCCCTTGATGATTACCACATCGCTGGAAACTGCAGTAGCTGGTAGCAAATTGAGGAAGCATATTAGAATTTAACTCAAGGATCTTCCTTTCCGATAACCTATCACCTAGCTACTTGTACTCCGTAGTTAGGTTAGCGTTCATTGAAGATAGTGTGCTTATCGGCAGCTCGTCCGCATATTTGCTTCTGCGGTTGTTTCATTCGTTGGCCTCGAAATTAATTTCTTTTTGTCCTTTAGGAGAGGGTGGGTCTACCTGGATATATTAATAGAATATTCATCTATACACCTGCACTGATGGCTTTAGTTCTACTAGTTACTGCCCAATCTTCCGAACTTGGGCACTATAGTACCCATACAACAAGAGCATCTTCGATTAAAGCCGAGGAGACAAGCCCCCGTATTTCTTCTCATTGATATATATATTCTTCGTCCAGATTCATAGCGAGTTACTGTAGATGTTGGCAAAAAGTCCTGTGAGTAGTCACGTCGTATAGAGTATTAACGCTGGATAATATTAGATGATTGTTGGTGAATCCTCCCAAGGAAAGACAGCATTGTCAGTACCCTACAGAGGTAGGGAGAACAGATAATCGCGACAGATTACTGCTGATATAGAGTAGCGGGTCGAACACTTGTTGATTAGGTGACATGGTTAGGTAGCTGTGCGACAGCTTGGAGTCTGGTTGTGGGGATATCTTCGGCCATCGATGCTGTGTGTTGTCCACTAGAACGTCTTCATATGCACTATAAATGCGATGCTGATCTTGCAACGGACTATTTGTATAAACCTGCCTAGGATTATACAAAGTAGATCCAATGAACAGATACAGTCCTTTTGGCATTGACCCTCTCATAATCTCCGATAGGAACACACAGGAGATCCGCGTCGGGAACGAGAAAGCGAGCGTAAATGTTCCATTGTAAGTGTACTGATCAGGTCACTATCCAAGCCAACCTTGGTTAGCACTCATGGGGGGAATGTGTGCCTTACCACGTGCTCAAGAAAAGTCACGGGCCGGCCGCATCGCACTCTGAAAGATATTCGAGCAAGTAACTCCTCAATATACACACTTTTATTATTCCGTTCCAGCAAGGCAACTTTGAGGACACATCAAAGTTTCTGCATTGCTATCAGATCGATTGATCGTGGGATCTTATTCCCTGCACCAAGCGAAAAAGTCAGCTCAAAGCTGTGCGCATTGATTAACATATAGCGATAACTACCCAAGTCTAGAGGTTCCATTATGTGCGCCTTCCTGGAGAATTAAGCGGCCGCGTCATGCGTTGACAACCACATAGTACACTGCAAAACATGTGTGGGATGCTGTTCAATGCATAATCTCTGACCAAGATGGAAGAATCGCTGATGAAGAATGTTATAGCCTCCAAGTGCACCACTCGGCTCTTTCGAGAATATATGAAGCCCTTCTTCGGTCCCCGGATACACTGTTGGGTGGGTTCACAGATCGAACCTGGATCCTGACATCCACCACACCATAATTGCTGGCCGAGGAATGTTCGCTTCAGACGCTGTAGTGATTTTCAAAACTTGATGCGTACAGAAAGAATCACGGCCTGGTAAGCTGAAGCCCTCATAGGATACTCAGAAATATCTACGTTCGTCATAGGGCGGCTAGCTCATTATGTGTTCGCAGAACTGCAGTCAGAACTATAGGACTTACCTAAATCTCCGTCGGAATGAGAGTTGCCACTCTAACATTAGTGGATGAGGACGGAACTGGACCCCGCATCGGCACTAGAGTGGAAACTAAATGCTGACCCTTGCATATGCGCTGAACCAGAAAGAGGTTTAGCATGCTTTTGAAATATGTTTCAATTCCATAATCTCCATCATGATCTTAAGGTAGGTGGTTCACTCTCCTAACAAAATATGGACATATTCTCGGTTCTGTCGGAGTTAACGGATATTGGGGGAGTTAAGCGGTCATCAACTTGATACTCCCCGCGGCTAGCGTGTAAGCTGCCCGCATAGGCAACCTGTGGTACCATAGTGTGAGACTACACTGGAGGCGAGAAGTTACAACTTCACAAAACAGTGGAAACTCGAATCCCAAGCTGCAAATCAATTGCTACAATGGATACTCGGCAAAAGAAAGGGTCCATTCCGAGCCCGTGCCGGACTGTCCAGGATCCACCCGGAAGCAGAGCCATGGGCGATGTCATAACCCTACAGCTGTTCCTATAAGAACTGCTTCCAGTCCTACCTGCAAACATTTTCAGATTTTCAAGATTCACACACAATTAGAACAATCAACACTACCAACATCATTCGTCAACATGGTCAAGACACTTCCCTTCCAAGACATCCAGGTCCCGTCACCCGGCTTTGGTGCCATGGGCCTCAGCTTCGGCTTGGGCTACAACCTCAGTCTTGAAGAAGCAGAGCCCGTTCTGCTGAAAGCTATCGAGCTTGGCTGCACTTTCTGGGATACTGCTGTGAGTTTAGCCCATCAACTCCTTGAGTAAGATGTGAAAGACTAACCCATGGACTCAGGTTATTTACCAAGCGGGTGTGAACGAAAAACTTTTGGGAGATTTCATTCGCAAGCACAATGTGCGCGACAAGATCTTTAGTATGTACATGTGTCACCTAGTAATACAATCTGGCACTGACCCAATGCAGTTGCCTCCAAGTGCGGGTTCAATGTCGAAAGCTTTACCGTCACCAACTCCGCCTCACATATCAAGGAATACATTGAAGGAACTATTGAACGACTAGGGTTCACACCTGACCTGTATTACCTCCACCGTATCGATCCTAGTACGTAAAATGTACCCATGTCTTCTTCCAGACTGGCTGACCAAGACAGACACCCCTCTCGAGGAGTCCATCCCGGCTCTGGATGAGATCCGCAAGGCAGGCAAGACCAAGTACATCGGTCTTTCAGAATGCTCTGCTACAACTCTGCGCAAAGCCAACTCCAGTTAGTTTTACTGTCTGACTTCTATCACTGTTCAATGTCTAACTTTTCCCAGTTGCCAAAATCGACGCCGTCCAAGCCGAATACTCAGCCTTTGAGACCCTGCACGAGACGGACGGTCTGATCGACACCGTCAAGGAGCTGGGTGTGGCGTATGTGGCCTACAGTCCTCTGGGACACGGCTGGCTTGTGGACGACTTTCCCTTCAAGACGCCCGAAGACTTTGCGCCTGACGATTTCCGTCGCGGTTGTAAGTTGCCTTGCCCATTAGGATTACTTCTTAGTTATGCCTACTAAACGTGGATAGCCCCCAAGTTCCAAGGTGAAAATTTCTACGCCAACAAGAAGATCGTGGATGAGATCAAGAAAATCGCAAGCAAGAGAGGCTGTTCGATCAGCCAAGTGGCCCTGGCGTGGGTTGCTGCTCAAGGCATGATTGCCATTCCCGGCACAACCAAGGCGCACCGGTTGGAGCAAAACTGGGCTTCTCGGGATATCGACCTGACTGATGAGGAGAAAGCCGAGATGCGCAAGATCATTGATGCCGCCAAGCCGCAGGGAAATAGATATAATGAGCGTCAACAGGCTATGGTTGGGCACTAAGCGGAGCCGGGTCTTTTGGGTGGGGATATATATATTTCTGGCGAGTCAGATTAAACTTCTGTTGATTTTTGAGACTTGAAGGCTATTGCAGGGGTAGAGTATTGAATGAATATACGATTTGTATATAGCATCGATACTCATGCAACAAGGCCAGATTATGAAATTCTTTGTGATTCAGTAGTGGAGGATTACGAGAGGGCCCAAAGAGTTGACGATTGGGGATCCAGCACAATGGGAGACGCACGGTTGTTGCCCAAGGCAGTCCACGGGGGGCCTAGACCGCAGTTGGACTGGACGGTGCCAAGTTGGTGAACTGACTAATTTATTATCTTTGTGCTTCAGAGAATTGCAGCTCACAGAATTAAAATTCAGGTTAATATATACACCGATGCATAAACCAAGATGTGAAAGAACAGCGCACAGCTGCAAGTTTTTTCCACTGGAGGAACAAGAAAGACCCCCGACAAGCCTTGGAGGATCGACGAATCCACTTGGAAACTAACTACTAGTCAGTTAACTAAGGAAGGTGGTGATGCTGACTGGCTTAGTCACGACGTAACCACGGCAGCTTCCTTTCCTGGCAGCAAATCCCATCCTCCAGTGAATAAATTAGCCTTTGCGGCCCCTTTCGTTTTCACTTTCCATCCTTCGCCTCTTGAAAATTTTTACCTTTCCTTTCCTTTCCCTCCCTTCGAGAAAACCTCATCGTCCATGTGAGATTCTTCGTGCACGCCGTCTTTAATGGACCCCATCGAGCCCGTCAACGGCTCGCCCGATCCCCACGAAGGCCAGCCACCGTCGGCCACGCCCTCCCCCGGACCGACGTCATACCCCCGACAACGTGCGGCCTCGCTGCGTTCTCGCCGCCCGTCCATTCGCCTCCAACGCCTGCCCTCGTTTGAACAGGCGACTTTGTCCACACCCCGGTCACAGCCATCGCAACAAAATGGCGATACCAGCAGAACTGCTGGTGTCGCTCTGTCCCCTCTTCCTTCCATCCCAGCAGCTTCCGCTGAAGACGAGTCATGGCAGGGCAACCGCCGTCGCAGCAACTCGGAGCCCCGACCTGGGCGATGGTCTACGCCCAACCCGGCTGCTCTGGCACGGGTGACCACGGGCGGTCAGATGCGCCCGGTGCAAGAGGAGGCGTCGAGCCCGATCGTTTCCTCCACATCAAACCAACGAATGCCGGAGGATGTCCCTCCGCTACCAGAGATACCGAGACGGGGGAGTCGAACCCCCATGCGATGGGCAAGTGGAGTGGGTGGAAACCGGTTCACGCGCAATCGCGCGTCGACGGTCAGTGGAAGTGCCCCGGCTCAAAACCATGAGGTGGACGACGAATATCGCTCTCATATTGTTGATGTCCTGGACGTCATCGGTAAGCTATCCACCATACCAAATGGTTTCGTGGTATAGTAGCCTAATATATTCCAGATCCGGAAGTGTCGGCCTTATCTACCCTTACGAATGTTCAGAATTCGTTGTTCATCCCTAATCTAGGGCCTTTGTTGAATCGCAACCAGACTTATACGCTCTCACCGCCATCGCCTATGAGAGAACTGGAATCGACAAGTGACGAGGAACGAGCGGATGAGATAAAGGAGCCTGAAGTTCGTCCATCTGTGGAGCATACCCTTACGTCTGTTATCGGCGAGGGGGAGGAGCCTCGGTTTGCTGTGCTGCCTGAGGGGAGCAACCTTGCGGGCTGGAGCCCGGAAGAAATCGAAGAGCTTAATGACCATGTCCGGCACATGCTGCATTCTCGACGATCAAAGTTCAAGCGTTCGATGAAGGGGTTTAGAAAATATGTATCAAAGCGTGAGTGACGACGTTTTCAACCCTCAATATTAGCTGCTGACGTTCTTTCCGCAGCTCTTGGATTTCTGGTTACTCTATATGCCACACTCATCACACTTTTTGGTCTTGCCTGGGTACTCTTCCTCATTGGTACGTGACTGCAATTCACCCAGCGAATCATCGAGCAGAACACTAACCCATTATCAGGCTGGATCAACGTCGGAGGCAGGCAGTCCTACATTATTAACGTCATCGACAACGTCCTTGTCGCACTATTTGCAATCATGGGTGACGGGCTGGCCCCGTTCAGAGCCATCGACACCTACCACATGATCTTCGTAGCTCGATACACGTTCCTGACATGGAAGATCCGGCGCAAACGACACCTTCCCGATCTCAAGAACAAGAACGACCTTCCATCACGACGAGAAACAGATGTCGACGTCGAACTCGGCGACACCCCGAAGGGTGAAGAATACGAATTCACCGTCCTCGATCCCGTGAGACAACTAAAGCTCATCCACCATCAAAACAAGCTCTCTAAATCCCACACCTTCTACAAACCCCACGAAACCTTCACCCACTACGCCTTCCCCATGCGCCTCCTCATCGCCATCGTCGTCCTTCTCGACTGCCACTCCCTATTCCAAATCGCCCTAGGCACCTGCACTTGGGCCATCAGCTACCACGTCCGCCCCTTCGCCCTAACCACCGTCATCCTCTGCTGCTCTATCTGCTGTAACATCACCGGCGGTGTCCTCATCATGATCGGCGACCGCATGACTCGCAAGAAAGACGTCGTCGAGCGTCTCTTCCGTCAGCAATTAACCGAAGAAGCAATGAAGAAGATCCGAAAGAAGAAGCGGAAAGAAGAAGAGAGACGCAACGCTGAGAATAGCGGCGTGTCACGTTCCCATTCTATCTCTTCCCAGCGAAAGCTGTCACTTTCACAGCCGAGAGAAGACGAGTATGAATCATAAGACGCTATTCAGTTCAGAAGCACACGCACATCCATCTTGTTTGCTTGCACGTTTCACGACCTTTGCGATGACCCCATATATGTTAGTTATTATCAATGATATCCCCAGCACCCTTATTGCTCTTGCCCTTTTATTTCTGTTTATATATCTGCTTCCACCGAACAAAAACACGATGTTCGGTTCGATTTCGTCAATAGATGATTTGATAGATGGCGTTTTGTACTACTATCATATTTATATATATGTCAAGTGTATATAATATTACGAGCAGATTGCTTGCTTGCTTGCTTGCTCTTCCTAGCTATGTTTCTGCCATTTAACAGACATTTGGCTACGTACTCTGCGATACTCGCTTGATGTGCATATATACATTGCAGTATTAACAAGACAAGAGGTGCTCTTTCTGATGATATTCATACATACTACTTGACATATTTGGTTGAATTTAGTCTTACTATTACGCCATAAACCTAATATACTGAATGACAATCCTACCCACCCCCATCACCGATCGTGAAATCAGAAAGTATGACTCGAAATAATATTTATATAGACATGTAGATAGTTGGTGCTCATGTACAAAGTGCTCTCTCCTTTTCCAGAGCCAAGTAAAGTAGTAGTAGTAGACACACACAGTTCAGACCGGGGAGGAATATGTATATAGAGACATGGAGGGAAAAGAGGAGAAAAAATAGAGGAACAAAAAGAGAAAGAGTGAGTGACTGAATAGATAGAATAAACAAATGTCTCGCTCAGGATACTGAAAAACTAAGCATACAAATCCCAGATTGATGCTCGAATTTTGAATCCGACTGTATGATGAGAAGGAATACCGTGAAAGGGGAGAATGTAACCGCCCTAAACACCGCAACTCGCTGACAAGACGAGGAAGGAAGATAGAAAAAGAAAAACGAAATTTGTGGTAACGAGGGACGTATGGGACGCTGATGTCACCATACAATGTGAATATAGCTTGATGCTTTTACCCGGTTCTCCATGTGTGTAGAGATGGGGTTGTTACTTTTTCGGGTCGGCCTTACAGCTCGCTGTGGACGACTGCTTGGTCCGCTGCAGGTTGGGATCGTCGGTCGAGGAGGATCTTCTCGAGAGTATCGAGCCTTTCACGCGTAGTGCGAATAGCATGATCCATCTCGAGGTCGGACATTTTTTCTTCGCTGACTTTGCTGGCCAGCGCACGTTCGCTCTGGACTTTGCGAGAGTATTGCTGTGTCCGAGAGCCCGTCGACCGACTGACGGTGGGTATGGCTAATCCGTCCATGCCAACCCTGTCTTCCAGCCAGCTCCAGAGCTCGCTTTCTTCCCGGCGCCACATTTCCTCATAGGCGGCCAGACGTTGGGGTAATGAGTAACCAGGGCATCCGATGTCGTGGGATACCACAGATGGCTGAGACGGGCGTCGGAAGAAGAGGAAGAAAAGCAGAATGCCGACTAACACAATGGCGACGTTTCCGCTCAAAAGAGGCTTGACCGTGTCCACAACAGGTCCAAGCACTCCATGGAGCGGCTCCAAAACACCCCAGGAATTCGCCTGCTGTGCTCGTTCCTCCTCCGCTGCTTTGGCAGCAGCCGCCGCGGCCTCCTGAGCGACCTCGCTCTTCTTGCGTCGCCCCTTACCCTTGCCTTTACCGCCACCCGTGCGGCCACGAGGAACAACAGCAGCTTTGAGGGCGGCAACCAAGTCATTTCCAAACGCAGTTTGACCGTCAATCGCACCCTTTTCAATGGGACCTGCTTTCTGTTAGCATAGCTGTAGTGGGGCATTTGACGCAGTGGACCTACCCTTGAGCCAACTCTTTCCCGACCACTCGATGGTACATGTCATGAGGAATCGTGTCTGATTGTTCGGCGCCCATGTGAAGAGGTACTTGGTCTTGGTCAAGAAAACATTACCGCTGGGGACGTCGGGTGTCTGGGTGCCCAGGGTAACAAGTACGGCCTTTTCCAAGTCAAGGAAATCCAGCGTTTCAGTACTGATACATTTTGTTTGCTTGGGACCAATGGATCCGTTCAGTGGCTTGATATACGAATAATTCCGTGTGCGGCTGTCGTTGGTGAGACCCTTGTTTCCAGTTTCAAATTGGAGCTCTCCCGATTTTTGATTTTCAACAAGAAACTTCGTCATGAACGCACCAGATTGCGCTCCGAACACGTAAGAGTAGACTTTTCCGAGAGGCGCTGGGATCACATCATCCTTGACCACCTTATCGTACTGGCCTGCAGGGTCAGTATACTCGGTGGGAGGATGCGTTGGCGGGCCAGGGAAGTCAGTGTCACCATCAGCGGGTGAGCCAGACTTGCTGCCTTTTCCATCACCGCTGGAGTTGGCTCCGGCCTGCCCAGCCCCGTTGGCATTGGCGAGGGGGCCCGAAGCCTTGCGGCTAACAGGCTTGGTAGGCATGGACTTGTCACTCCCGTTGACGCTGGCGCCGGCAGCTTCGAAGAGGCTATCAGCATTGTCGCCTTCTTCGTCCTCATCGTAGATCTCATCTTCTTCTTCGCTCTCATCATCACTTTCACCGGCCTTCTCGGTCTTGTCTCCTGTGCCGTCCGTGACCCTGGTTCCATTGGCAGAGCTCTTGAGAGAAGGGTGGTTGATTTTCCAGATGTTAACCATGAGATCATAGGTAGACTCTCGACTAAGAAGACTGCGGAACGTATGCCGAGCATGTAGCGTCTGGATAGCTATGGCATTCGGGAACACCATCGCAGTGGACTCCTTTTCTATCGCCACCACTTCGTCAAAGCTGATTACAAGGGTGGTCACCCAGCCCAGAATATTACTGGAAAAGCAGATGTGACCTTCCGAAATGTAGATTCGACCAGCTAGGATGATCTCTCGTTGCAAGGCACAGCTGTAGTCCTCGATCAGGTAATCGTCTTCGGGTACACTGCGGAACAGTTGATGGAAGTCTCTGTTTCGCTTTTTGCTGGCAACAGCAAAGCCAGTCAGGCGAGGCATGCTGGCATTGGCAGCCGGGGCACCCAAGGCAATAGCACTGGCGCCAATTGCACCAAGTGTCGATGTAGTTGCTGCTGAAGACCCACGGTGCCGGCGCCGGGCAAGCCGGCTTCGCACGCTACCGCTTCGATAGGGCCGAGTATGACCAATCTCACCATCGAGTATACTGCCACTTGGTGGAGTTTGGTCGCCAGCGCCCTCCTTCGTAAAAGAAGCACTGGACTGTAGTTCGAGACCGTCGTCCGTCGAAGGGACCAACGACGTCTCAGAGGGCTTTTCGTAGGCCATTGTGACTGCCCGGGCTGCACGACTATCCTCAAGCCTGGCTGCTTCTTCATCACGTTGCGATACTTTGCGCTTCTCCAAGGGCAAGTCTGGTTTGGTGATCACAACGCCGTCCGGTGTGGAGACAGAACCACCGGGGGGTATGGCGATATCCAGATGGCTAAAGTCCAGGTCTCCAGATCCCAGAGTATCGACGGCCAATGGCTTTTTCTCTTCCGCTTTATTGTTGATGGGCTGGCTGGGGCCTGGCGCTCCCTCAGCAGAAGGCTGACTCTCAGATTCATTCAATCCTCCTTGCGCAACATTGCGACCCTTTGACTGAGAGTTAAGACTACTGCTCAAAGTCGAGGCTGCATTCTGTGCGGCGGAGAAGACGGATGAGAAGAACCCGGTTTGCATGGGCCCCGGTGATTTTGCGCTCGCTTTGGTCTCTTCAATCGTCGGTCCTATCGCGGATATGGAGTTCGACAGCTTGCTGGGCTTGTGGCTCGCAGCAGAGGCGGACCGCACACGCCGGTGGGAGATCATATTCCCCGAAGGGCTGACAATGATACCGGCTGGTGAATCTTTCGAGTGGATAGAATCAGGCGACCTAGTCACGTCTGGCGAGGTGAAAAGCCTAGGAAATTCGGTATTCGGGGTGGGAGGAGTTACGGTGGTCTGCGGGTGCGGAATGGCGGTATGCGGGGGTGTTCTCGGAGCGGGAATTTCTAGAGAAGGGAGAGGCTTGTCTTCCTTGAGATCGGTGCGAATGGGAGCTGGCAAAGGCGGGGGCGGTTCAGCAACAGTCTGAGCTCTCTTGGCTGATAAGCTGCCTCTTCTACTGCTTTTGGAGCTAGAAGTAGATTCTGCTCGATCGCGGTTAGAGGCTTTCTTATCCGGGTTGGAGCCGAAGGCGTTCTTGAAGCGACGTCCGGGCGAGATGCCTCGTTTCTTCCCGCGGTCCGATGGCACGTTTAATGAAGAGCCATGTTGGCTAGGCGGTCGCTCCGTCTCCTGTTGCGACTCGGGGGCAGCAGCTTCCGTGTCGCCTTTACCATCTTCTTCCGTCTCGTCTACCGATGTGGTCCTTATAAGGGGGGAGGATGAGGTGTAAAAGCCAGCATGGGAGTTGTGAGAAGTAAGAGGGGGTGTTCTTTGGGTCAATCCACGTTAGACATCTACTTGACTCGCCGATGGCGTACCAATTGAATGGGGACACATCAACTCACCTGTCAGGTTCGGAGTCGTCCGTCAGCAAGTTGACAGTGTCATGGTCCGGGGGGCTCAGGTTCTCGTGGCCGACTGATGAGTTGGTGGAAAGGCCGTCGCGCGACTCTGTTGAACGACTCTCCTGGACATCCTTGCTACTCTCCGTCTCCAGCTGGGTGGACGATTCATCGGACTGCTTCTGACTCTTATCCTTCTTCTTCTTCCGTCGAGCGGCCAAAAGCTTCGAAAATCCGCTGGAGCCTGCCTTGGCGGAATCAGCCTCGCCGGCTTGCGACTTGGGTCTGTCGGAGGTCGAGTCGATTGAGGAGCGCCCATTGATTCGGGACGAACTTCCCATTGTCTCCAGATCAACCGGAGTGGTCTTGGTACGATTCACTTTGCTGATGCTGGGTATATCGGTTTCTGGAACCGGCGGGGGATCGGGGATCGGGTTGGCCTCCATGGTGGATGAGCGAATGGAGGAGTGGGGGGTGAGGGGAGGACGGGTAGAGGCAGAAACGAAAGTGAATGAACAATTGATTTAGAGTTCAAGGGGATATTGGATAGCAACGGCAGCGCGCATGCTAGAGGTCAGAACCGGTCGACGTCTCTAGCAATGCATTGTATGTAGAAAGTAAGGTAACGTCAGCAGAAAAGGAGGGTCGTAGAGGGGAAAGATGGGTCTAACTGCGTCTAGATGGTCGCAGCGCCCGCAGCATGTCCTTCCTCTCACTTCCCTACTGCTGAAAAATTTAGGGAAAAAGATAAGTTAAGGAAAAAGAAAATGGGGGGTGGGGGGGGGGGAGGAAGGGGTAAAGATGACGATGAGGAGAAGGAAAGCGAAACGAAGGCGCTTCGAAGTGCAACTCCGCAAAGCTGCCAGACCATCGACGGTGAACGGAGCATTACCGCCGGTGACCTTCTTCCGCTCGTATTTCTCCGCTGGGGGGGATGTATATCTACAAGGTGGATTTCCGATCGGCAGGGATACGATTACGATAAGGGGTTCTTCTGTAGCTGTAACTTCATATACTCTGTCGTCTTTCCCCTGGAATTGCTTTCTAGATCTCTGAGAATTAATATATCTTAATCGCGATGGTGAAACTTGCCAGTGCTGCAGCTGGTTAATTATAGAACTGCGGCGGTGCCGGAGCTGTCACACTGTATGCGCCAGCGTATTACGGTCACAACCATACCACGATCCGGAATCAGGGGGTTGCAGCGGTAACAATCCGGTAGATGCTGGTAGTGGATAGTAGGGGAGAGTACTTATTGGTACTTGCGGGACTGGTTCCATGGATGGTAATGTTACCGTCCCATTGGTATCACCGCGTGATCTGCCCGAAGCGGTGAGGGGATGTCGTCACCAGCGATAGTCCTTCGTCGGCCCTTATCTGAATGTCTTAAATTGTTCTTCTCCGATCATATTCTACTCACATTCACTCGCTTTGGGGGGTGGCTTGTGGTAGTCCACTCCGGAAATTTACTTCTCTTTTGAGGCCCCCACAGCCATGGAGACTGCTCCCCTGACCTTGGTAAGTTCTTCTTGCGCGGCCTCAAGCGTTGTATCCGGCCTGACAGACCCCTTCGGACAAGGCTCATACCCACGCTCGCAATGCAGTTCTCGAGACTCGCAAGTCGAACCCCGTAGCAGCCAGCGAGGAACATGATCTTGCTGCGGGAGAATTTGCCACTGCAGCCCAGAATAGCTCGGATAAAGAGGTACGTCTATGACGCATCGCTGCATCTACACTTACACGAGAACGCTGGCTCATTTCCTCGACGGCACAGGCTCTGCGGACCCTCCACCTGCTCGAACAACATCACAAAAAGCTGGCACAGATCCTCCGTTTTCAACATGAGAATCCTCAAAGCAATGCAGGCCCCGGCGCAGCTGCCCAGCTGTCTACAGAATCCGGGGCGAGAGCATCCACCTCCACTGATCCCCAGCATATCCCGCGGCTATCTGGACACCCTCGTCTACCGTCGAGAGAGTCATCCTCCATCGCCAGCAACCTAGCATCCGCACGAGGAATCCCCGCGCACCGTGCCTCTCCGGCATCGCCAACAATCGCTCCCCAGCAAGCCGGGGCCAAGATGACCGACGGCCCAAGCAAGATCCGAACAAGCGAGTCCCGACTACGAGGCACCGCACAGATGCAAGGGATGAGGGAGCGTGAGCGCGAGCGCGAGCGCCACCGCACATCAACTTCCGCTCGACAACCCTGGATCCCGCCAACACCCAGCCCAACGGACGTCACCTCACAGCAGTACGCGCCAGCGGAGCCCTCGGAGCCATCCCGCCCACGAGCCTCCCTCACCGAGGAACCCTTCCAAAAGTTCTACTCGACCTTTGAAGGCCTTATCTCCAAGATCTCCGCACCCCTAGCCTTCGCGGGCCTTCCTCTAGGCAGCGACCCATCCTCGCAACCCTCAACAAGCCGCAAATCCGCCCCGGACACCAAAACCGACCGCTACAACGCCGTCCCGGACCGCTCCGCCGAACCAGACATCAACAAGCTCTTCTCCCGCGCCGCCCTCCAAGCCATCAAAGACAACACCGGTGGCGCGAGCGGCGGAACCGGCAGCGCCGCCGAATCCTTCTACGTGGTCCCCACAACCGGTGGCACCGTCTCCTACGCAGGGATCCTGACACGGGCCGAAAAAGAAGCCCGAAGAAGCAGCTTCGAAGACGGAGCCGACGAAGACTTCGTCGACGCCCGCGAGACCCCTCCATCCCCGGAACTCCGCCAGAGCCTCTCTGGCGCAGCAGCAGCACCGATGGGCAGCAAAGCATCCCGCACCCCCACCAGTCAGAGCGAGAAATTCTCCCGACTCACCCAAAACCCCAAAACCATGGAAGAGCTTCAAATGGAGAACCAAGCCCTCCGCCATCTCTCAGACACTCTCTCCAAGCGGCTACACATGTGGGAAGTCAACGCCCAATCAAGTTCCATGGCGCTGCAACAATCCCTGCGAGCAATGCATCATACTCAGAATGTCCCATCCTCAGACCCTCATAACCAATCGCAAGTTCCTTCCCCGGTTGCGACTACCGGTGGCGCCGGCATCTCATCTCCCCCAGTCCCAGCAACAGACTACGACCAGCGCATCAAAGAACTTGAGGAAATGGTCCGTCGCGGCGAGAAAGAACTGGGTAAAGTCGGCCGCGAGAACGACAAGCTCCGCGATGTGCTGGGGAGGTACAGAGAGCGATGGGAGAAGTTAAAGGAGGGAGCGAAATCGAGACGTGCAGGTGCAGCTGGTGCTGCCACTACGTCTGCTGGCGGTAGTAGTGCTACTGCTCGACCAGGTAGCAGTAGCAGACGATCGAGCACGCAGCAGGGAGTAGTAGTGGATACAGAGGACGGGTCATCGAAAGCGGGGGGTGGGGACACAACAACAACAACGACCACGGAAAATGCAGACACTTCGAATGGTGAGCGGGAGGGGTCTGATTAATTATCTTACCCTATCTTTACGACTATTCTTATTCCTGGGATGAATATCTCTATATGAACTACTTATATACTATGTCCTATCATTATTAGCCAAAAGCAAGCAAGCACACGAAGTGAAATGATGAACTGAATTATATATACCCAACCATAACTATACTATTCACAAATATACCCCAATAAGATAGATACTAACTACCACTACTTACTACCACCTAATAGTACTAAGTACTAAACAACCCAAAACGCCGCCCTCCCCCTAATATCCACCGAACTACTCCCAACCAACACCCCAAACTCGCCCTTCTCAACCACATACTCCATCTTCCTATCCCACAGCCCCAAATCCCGCACCTTAATCTCAACCTCCACCCCCACACTTCCCCCCGCCGGAACAACCACCTTCTCAAACCCCTTAAGTAACCGATTCGGCACCACCACCGACGCAATCTCATCCACCACATAAACCTGCACGACCTCCGTCGCCTCCCTCTTCTCATCCAAATTCCTCACCTCAACACTAACAACCACCGTCTCATTACTACTCGACGAGACATTCGTCTTACTCAACTTAACATCCCCATACTCAAAGCTCGAATAACTCTTCCCATACCCGAACGGGTACACAGCGTGCGGATCACCCAGGACATACTGGTGTCCGAAGTCCAATGTGCCATTGGGGTAAGCGTGTCCGGCGTCGCCGATGTTGCGGGCTGAGTTCAGGTAGTCGTAGTAGATGGGCAGGTCGCCGACGTAGTGGGGGAAACTGACGGAGAGTTTTCCCGACGGGTTGTAGTCTCCGAAGAGGACGTCCGCCAGGGCGTTGCCGCCTTGTTCGGAGGGGTAGAATTGTTGGAGTAGGGCCGAGGTGCTGTTTGCGATCCAGGTTACGTCTGTGATGGGCTTGCCGCTCGAGAGGACCACGATGGTTGGGATCCCGGTGTCCCGGATTGCCTGGATCAGGGGGCCTTGGGCGCCGACGAGGGCGAGGGAGTCGAGGTCGACGTGTTCGCCGGTGCTGTTTGGAGTTGGTTAGTGGGAGGTGGTATGGAGGACAGCGTTGGGGGACGTACGTGGCGTTGTAGTTCTCCCATAGTTCGGTCTGGTCGCGAGACCAGGTGCCTACGACGACGATGGCCACGTCGGACTTCTTGGCTGCTGCGATGGCTTCGTCGAAGCCTGACTCGTCGTTGCTCCACCGTTCGCAGCCTTGTGCGTAGTTGACCGTCGCGGCGTCGCCGACGGCGGCTTTGATGCCGTCGAGAGGGGTGACGCCGCGCCATTGGCTGCCGTAGATCACGTAGTCGCCGTACTGGGTGGGTTAGCTGTGAGTTTTCTGGTGGTTGCAGCGGGGATAGTCTCACGTTCATGAATCCGTGTGCCATAGGCCCGATGACGGCGATGCTACCGCTCTTCTTCAGGGGGAGGGTCTCGTTGTGGTTCTCGAGCAGGACGATGGACTCCTTGTCGATGGTTCTGGCGAGCTCGACTGCTTCCGGGCTGTGGATCAGCTTGTTCCATTCGGATTGAGGAGCGGCTGGGTAGGGGTTCTCGAAGAGGCCCATTTCGAACTTGGCTCTGAGGACTCTGGAGACGGCGGTGTTGACGACCTCGATGTCCAGTTGGCTGGACTCGACGAGCTCGGGGATCTTCTGGTAGTTGCTATGAGTTGTTAGCTGGGTTGCTTACGCCAGATGACTGGGGTACTCACAATGAACCTCCGCCCATCTCGACGTCGTTGCCCGCGGGCAGGGCCTGGGTGGTCACAGCCTCCATATCGATGGGAGAGCTTCTGCAGAGCTTGAAGGCTGTGCACAGTCTGTCTGTGGCACCGGAATCGCTGATCACATAGTAGTCGTAGTTCCATTCTTCTCTGAGGATCTTGGTGAGAGTGAACCAGTCGGCCACTGCGGGGATACCGTCGTATCTAGAACCTGTGAGTGGTAGCCGACAGTCGTTGATTGTAGTGACTTACGCGTGGTAGGCGCTCATGATACTCCATGCACCAGCATCCACGATGGCTCTCTTGAAGGACGGCAGCCAGCTAGACGGTGTTAGATTCTTGTGTTTCACGTGGAGAAATGCACATACGTTGAGCGCAGGTATCTCTCTCCTCCTTGGACAGGCGCAGTGTTCAGACCCTGTTCAGGCAAACTGTATCCCACGAAGTGCTTGACAGTGGCGGAAACGTTCAAACTCTGCAGTCCTACGATATAGTGGTAGGCCATTTCACCAGCAAGGTAAGAGTCCTCTGAGAACGTCTCCTCAACCTGTGATCGACTATTGTCAGCCAGTCATTATCGCTGGAGTATTGCAGTTCTTACCCGACCGTATCGGAGTTCGCGAGCCAGATCGGCCAGCGGCGCAAACAGTTGGGTGGTACCAATAGCACGAGCTTCTTGCGCAATGAGTCGTCCCATTTTCTCAACCAACTGTTTACAGGGTCAGTCTCAGTCGCAGGTGGCATATAGCAGCAAGCATACCTTTCTGTTGAAAGAACAGGCGTATCCTATCGGGGAGTTGTAGATAGTCGCATTCTCGAGCAGGAAGCCATGAATACCTGTAGACAGCAACCACGGATCAGCATCGACATCAGCATGAAAAGGAGTTAGACATACCCTCAGTCTGAACAAGAGCAGGAATTCCAAGCGTCGTATTCTGCAGCAGATAATCTTGAGCTCTCTTGATGTTGGTGGCAAGCCAATCCCAGGGAACAGCATATCCAACTACCAACGTTAGTTGTCTATCTACAAATATTCAGAGGAAATGCATACTGTAAAATGCACCAGCCTTCATCTCCATGTTCTCCACCAAGCCGGTGTAGTTGAAAGCCCCAGTTGTGCTGTTCATCCAATTGCCGATGTCACCTATACCAAGCATTAGCCACTGCAATGAATGCAATTGCATCCGAACCAAACAATCAATCGTTTCCATAGTCATTAGTCTGCTCGTAGAGAAAGAAATACACACCCTGCATCAATTGAGACATCTTATCTTCTATGGTCATGCGACTGAGAAGATCAGAGACTCGCGCCTCCACAGGCGCATGGGGATTCTTGTATAGAGGTCTGGAGGCATTCTGCACAGCCAGAGCCCCAGACCCAAGCTGAAGGAGCAAAAGCGCCTTTGCGAAAAGACCAGCCACCATAATGGCTAAATGAAGAGCCAATAATCTGCTCTTCCAGCTCCTTGGGTACGAGCCAGCCTATGCAGGTAGGCAAGCAGGCAGATATGTTGGGGAAAAGACAGAAGAGGAAGCTCAAGGGGGAGATCCCCCTCGGTATTTAACATCATGCAGGCAGCATATGATGTCTAGTGTGCAGACGAAGCGGAGCTCCAGAGAACCAGAAAATAAAAACAAGAAAAGGAAATAAGAAATTGAGCAAGTAGACTAAGGAATGCCATTGGCAGCGACGGACAAGGAAGCCGTTTAATTTAGGCTGTGCTCATGCGATCCATTCGGAGATGAGGCCAGTACCCATGGGGGCTGGTAGTGTTGGGGAGCGTGGAGAAGCAGCAACGAATGAGGGAGCATGATGCATGAGTCGGAAGCTGAAGGCGAGCCAGCTGACTGGATATCGGTCGAGTCCCAACGATACTTTAGATTGGCAGTCGATGGAGTAACTTCCCAGGATGAGAGGTGTACTCCAGTAGGAGCACGGGTAAATTCAGGACGATGGCGAGAAGGGGAGGGGTAAGCAATCTTGGGAAATGACTCGGAGATGATCCATGCAGTAGACTAACAACTGCTAGTTAGCCCAAGTTGGGCCAGGGTGCAGGGGATCCGGTGCGGACTTGCCGGCTGCTTGCTGCTCTTTCTCCACCTATCGTTGTCTTTCCCCGGACCAGCAGGCTTGCAAAAGTGCAAGGATAGAACTAAGGCCCGTCCCCCCGCGGGGTGGGCCAGTTGAAGAAAGTCTTGGATATGGGTTCCACCTTTTGGACACTAGCAAGTCTAACATAAATTAAATATTGCCACTGGCCTCGAGCTACCGGAAATACAACACACATTCGCTTCTCAAATTCTATTAAACGGCTATATAGTCGAAGAATGCTAATGCTCGCAGTGGTATGAGACAGCCTCCACCCGTGAATTATCTATAGAAAAACAAACGTATGTACTAACAATCGGTGTGAGCCAGTCACCGTCAAGAGCTCAAATTACGCCCGCGTACCTGCGCCGGTACTCTGCCCGTCTTGGTTCCTCTGCGACTCGGCACCGTCTTCACCTTCATTCTCTCGGATGCTCGTCGTAGCCTCCGATCCTCTGTTCGCTCCCGGTTTGTGGAGAACGCCACCCAGCCAGGCGAGACCACCACTCCACGAGTCACTCAGGCTGCGAAGCCGCGAGAGTGAGGTAGTGTTGTCTTCATGCTGGTTGATGGGGCCGTCCTCCGAATCAACAGCAGGTGTGAGATCACCAGTCCCTGGAAGTCGACTGCTGGAAAGCGGGAACCCAAGGCTGTGAGCGTTCTCAACATCGCCATCCACCTCGTACTCGCCGCCTCTTGCGTCTCCGTTACGCTGCCGAGTAAACCCTTCCAAGACTGTCGTGCTCAACTGTTTTCTCCGGTCCATCCGGTGGTGTAGTCTTCGTCCTTTATTGGGACTAATCTCGCCGCGGCGTAGTGTCTCCGCTACTACCGCACTAAAGCCAGCCGAGATGGTCGGCAGAAGAGGACCAGGTGAGAATTTTGAAATGGAGTTGCGTAAATGCCGAGCGGGCGGCGTCTGCGGGACAATCGCTTTCCGAACGTTCGACTGAGTCCGTCCATGTCCCGAAGTTGGGCCTGCCGACTCATCCTCAGCGCCAGGAGCAGGGGGGAAACGAAGGAGAAAGGGTGAATCGTGTGCTGTAAGCTCCGACTGCGCCGGGGGTGTAGAAGGGCGATGGATCGGTGGTTCAGTATTGGGGGTTTGGATGGCCGACTCTAGAGAGTCTGCCCATGGGTTTGTCAAAAGCGAACGAGCATGCATAGGCGAGGAAGGCTCCGAAGAAGGTTCTTCAAGCAACTCAGCGGTCAGCGAGCCGCGTGGGGAAGATGGCGCAGCCGAAAAGACGCCCCTAGGTGTCCGCTGGTCGTCATCCACGTCGTCGATGCCCTGACTAAGGAGGGACCCCGAAGGAGACTGAAGATGATCCTCCGCCGGGGTACGGACTTTTCGTCCTGCCTTATGGGCGCGAGCTTGTGGAGCGGGGGGAGATAGATCGACCCTATCATGATAACGGTCTGCGCCCAACAAGCCGATAGCCTCCTCTTCGTCGTCAATGGAGAATGTAGACTCGTTGTCTGCGCGTACACGGCCGCTGGTAATACAGTAGACCCCCATAAACGTTAAGACACAACCACCCACGAATTTGCATGCACGCTCAGCTGTGTAGGACTCGAAGTCTCGATACAGTACAGCGCTTCCGATAATCACAGAGAGAGTGAAAAGCACAAATTGTGTTGGAATGACTTGAGTCGAGTCGAACCGTTGCAGAGCTCGGTTGATGTACCGGATCTGCATAAGGGCACTGAAGACAAGGACGAAGACTAGAAGATAGGTGACTGGGAATGTAATGACGTGCCAAAGTGTGAAAGATAGCAGCGATGAGACACCTTTGGTCGACAAAGCAGTATATCCACCTAGTCAAACAGTAAGCAACGATCCACCATAATATCACTAAAGGGACCATGTGTGCGTACCAAATAACGCCACCAAGCCAACATCGATCAGGATCGATCGCGATCCATACTTGCCGCTTGCCCACATGAGCCCGACAATAAGCGCAGCGGAAACGCCCAGGTACAACTCGAACTCCCAGCGCGTAATCATCTCCCAGATATCATGGGGGCCGATCTTCTCTTCCGACGATTTTGCGCTGAGGACAACCACCACCGCTCCTGCGATCGCGATAAGAACTCCCCACAAGTCACGCTGTCTGAATTTCTCCTTTAGCATAAATGGCGCAATAACGCAATTGGAGATGAGGGCGACAACGCCGAGCGGTGACACAATAGACGCCGGAGCAAATCCATAGGCCATAAAATTCCCGACCTCGCCAAGTGACATGAGCACAATTCCCACCCACCAGTACGGCGATCGAAGATACGATTTGCGACGCAAACGCTCACTCCCCGACCGCGCAGTCCGGTCGGATATCATGGAGTCCTGCATATGATCCTGTGAGTCTGTCTCGTCGTCCCTGTAACGGCGGGTCCGTCCGGAATGGCCGCGGGGTTCTTCATAATGATCGGGTTCAGACGTAGGAGATTCATCCCGGTAACGACCCGGTCGAGACGCACGATGTCTTCCTCGACTTGCGTCTCCGTCAAAGTCGTCGTCATCGACAGATCCATATGCGCCAGAGTTGCCGTGTCCATGGTTCGCACGCTTCCAATCCAACTCGTATCTCAACTTGTCCTGCTCCCACTCCTTATCGATACGGATGTGAGCATAGCGCTGGATGTTGAGCGCCAGGGAAATCAACACATTGCCCGCCAGCGCAGTCACGATTCCAATCAAGGAAGACCATTCGTGCATTCCTCCGCCACTTCCACCATCGCCATTGTCAGACCCGGGACTGGACGTGAACGTCGGAGAAGGCTGGGACGAGGAGGGGAAGTAGTGATACGGTGTGGGTGTCGGCGTAGGAACAGCGGAGGAGGCGAGCGCGGTGAGCAGGCCTGCTGCCAGGGGCACCTCTTGCAAGTAAGCCATCCGCAATAGGAGGTTGGTTCAAGGGTATGCCGGGCGCAGGTAGGCCTGATTAAAAGGCGAGCGCGGGAGTGAAAAGGAGGTCCCGACTGATCCGCCGCTATAAGGTTGTAGGATGCGGAAAGCCTCCGATGTCGACAAACCAGCAAGAAAACTGGCGGCCGACTGACTGTAACGAAGGGGAGGCTTCCGGTAGTCGTCACAGCATATATTCCTTCAGATTGTTGGCATCAGCTTCTTCGGGGGCAGGGGTTCATGCTGCTGTGAGCCACGACATTCTGTATCCCCTAAGTGATAAAATCCAAGCTCGGGAGTCTTCGTTCACCAGCGACAGGGAAGAGACTCCGAAAGGCACCACAAGCAGTAAAATGAGTACAGACGCTCGTCATCCGCGAGCGAGGTCCGACAGTGGTTAAGTGCACGGATGTAGAGAATAAGATTGGGGGGGGAAGATGGGGGGATTCTGGGAGAGAGAGAGAGAGAGATGCCGAGAGAACCGGCGAGAGAGACTAGTCGCAGTCCCTAAACTCGGGCCTAAAATCCTTGGATACGACCAAGTTCTCACGTGCGAGCCTGCTCAAGTTGGGAGAGTGGGAAATACCACGTATAAGCGCAGCATCGCGTGAGGTTTGCTGGGCAATCAAAGCCGGACAGGCTGCAGTAGTAGATTATCGAGGAGCCCGTCGCAGTCGTGGAATCATTGGCTTGCTCGCCTCCAGATCAACGTCGAATGGACGATCCGGAGAATGGACGACTTGCACATCCTGGCCCACCCACCAGCCCCTTCAACGTCATCGAGCAGGCTGTCCATGCCGCAAGTACTTTCTAGTATTCTACACAGCGGAGTACACTTACTCGTTATGCATGATTATGTCTTACAGTTTCATAAGATTTACTGCCATAGGGTATCTCTGTTGTTTGTTTAACTCCGTTTAGTGGGCGGATGATTATTAACACACTTTATCTGCCACCAAAGTTCATCACGCTCAACGCCGCCCTTGCTCCAAAAGTATACTGTGTACATGTCCTGAATCATGGCGTAGAAGGAATGGAACCAATGTTTATTGTTTCCGATCGGTCGCAACACCTCACCGCTTTGCCCGCTTCTTATCCGGCCCCTGCTCGTTTTCATCATCACTAATATCCCGGTAGATCGGCGTGGGCTGCGTCTCCTTCCACGCCTTGGTGAAGATCGGGTCCTTCTCGGCCTTGTCCGCATACTTAAGCAGAGCTTCCCGGGGATCCTCATCGCGCATCGAACTAAGAGGAATGTTCTCGCGGATATGCTTCTCATCCGGTTGCGATTTCGCAAAAGGTGTTTGTGCTGGTAGATGAGGTCTCCGTGGATCTCTTGGACGGCCTGACGCCGTGAGTCCGATGGTCGGGTGCCGGGCGGACCAGGTGGATGAACTGTAATGAGGCACCCCGTTGGATCCGACAACCACAGAGTCGCCAGAAATCCCTTGGGTGAGATCCATAGTAAGGCTCGGGTCATCATCGATGTGTCGACGCTTCGGTGCCTTGGACATGATCAAGGCAGCACCCTTGGTAGACATGTTAGGGTTGTAAAGAACATGAGTTTCTGCGTTGGCCGAGCCGGTAATGATCTGGTTCATCTTCTCATGCCACAAAACGCTGATAACGGGCGATCCTGGCGTAACGGGCGTGACCAGTTCCGGTTTCAACGTGGCTGGATTCAAGATATGCAGGTGTCCAGTCTCCGAGCCCGTTAGAACATTAGCGGATGTAGGTGAGAATATAATATTCGACGACGGATACCGCGTGCTGGAAGGATGGGCGACCGTGGTGATAGGTTGCTTGAACTTCCTAGTATCCCATAGCTTGATAGTGTCATCTCCGCCCTTGGTAATAACAAGCCGTCCGTCCGAGCTGACATCGATGCCACTCGTCCAAGAATCCTTAGCATGGGCATCTCTAATCTCCGCACTTGGCCGAGTGTACGGCCCGTTTCCGCTCCACATGAGCAAACTGCCATCGAGCGCAGCAGCAACGAGAACACTAGGTCCACCCTGCTTGGGTGAGCCCCATGCGACAGCGGTCATTTTGCTCCGGCCAGCGGATCCCGCCATTTTTGATTTATGCACAATAACCTCCTTCTGTGACCGGCCGACATTGGCATCCCAGATGCGCACAGTACTATCTGTTCCTGCCGTGGCACAGAGATTCTCGTCGGTTGGACACCACACGCCGCCAGTCACCTCAGAGATATGACCCTTGGTGTTATGAAGATCCCTCAAATACATATCACCCTTCACAAACTCGGTAATCGTATCACCATCGCGGCTCAAAATCCTTGGCTGGGGTGTGGCCGAAACAACCATGACGTAGCTGGGGGACAAGGGATTGAAAGCTGCATAATGCACGGCATGCGCCTCCTGCGCAGCAGACTGCTTTTTGGCGGAAGGATCGACAGATTTGAATGCGCGTATAGTCGACGGGGTCATGGACGCAAAGTCGTGTAGCTTTATAGTACAATCGGTCGAGCCGGTGATCAGTCGCGAACCTGCGGGATCCACGGTCAACGTAGTTACTGCGCGGTCGTGTGTCTTGAGAACGAGTTCATGAGACACCGGGAACTCATCCTCATCATCGGAATCGTCATCAGAGTCGTTGCTTCCATCATCACTATCTGAATCGTTTTTCTGGTTCTCTTCCTCCGCCGCGGGACTAGCCTCAGTCATCGCCTCTCCTGTTATACCCGCTTTTTTGTCGTCGCCATCAGGGTTCACAGAGACTTCTGCGCGCTTGGTGCGATCAATCTGCGAGCTGACATCGGTCTTCTTCTCTTGCTTGCCAAAGCTAGTCGGGAAAAACTTCTTGAATGCCTCCTCGTCAAATCCGTCCATTATGGCAGCTGGTCTTTTGTTCTGGATGAAGTTTGGCGGAGATGACTTCAGATGCGATGGACGATGTCCTTATTGTTTGTAAGATTTGGCGTATTTGCACTGTTTGCGTTAGTTTGTCACGTGGTGATAAGACTGCATAGCCCTCGATAAGCAGTGGCTCGCGACGTCACCGGAGAATGGGTAAGAGTGCTCCAGGTCAGCAGCATCTACAATGCGCACGGACAGATAACACGCATGTGCAATTTTAAGGGCAGCGCCCGTGACAACACTGCTTACAGGCCACCAAAGTGACCCGGTGCTACTATTGTAAAGATACACTAGGATAGATTCTTAACCTAATAGCACCGCGCTACATCGGTTCAACTAGGGAAAATCTAAGTACAACATCGATATCTGCACGCCTACAAGTACAGTCCCTCCACTGGACCTCCGTCCTGCTTCGTCTTCATGATCCGCTCTCTGGCTGCGCGGAAGTCGTCCATCTGCACCCGCATCCGGCGCTCTCTCAGCGCCATCAAACCAGCTTCAGTGCAGATAGCACGGATATCAGCACCAGAGAGATCATCCTTCTGGTTGATGAACTCGTCCAAGTCGACATCGTCTCCGAGCGACATCTTGGAAGTGTGCAGGGTAAAGATCTTCTTCTTGGTGTTTTCTGTGTATAGTTAGCATTGTGGTACAAAAGGCATAGTGCTGAGAGACTTACGGTCTGGGTTCTCGAAGAGAATCTTTCTGTCAATACGTCCCGGACGGATCAAAGCAGGATCCAAGGTCTCAATCTTGTTGGTGGCCATGATGACCTTGACGTCACCGCGATCATCGAATCCATCAAGCTGGTTAAGAAGCTCAAGCATGGTACGCTGGATTTCTCGTTCACCACCTGACGTAGAATCATAACGCTTCGTACCAATCGCATCGATTTCATCAATGAAAACAATGGACGGTGCGTGCTCAGCTGCAACCTGGAAGATCTGACGGACCAGACGAGGGCCATCTCCAAGGTACTTCTGAATCAGCTCACTACCAACAATACGGAGGAAAGTAGCACTGGTTTGGTTTGCGACCGCCTTGGCCAGAAGCGTCTTTCCGGTACCAGGGGCACCGTAAAGAATGACACCCTTGGGTGGCTTGATACCCATCTCCTCGTACAACTCCGGGTGGAGCAAAGGAAGCTCCACAGACTCCCGGACTTCCTGGATCTGGGTTTCCAGACCACCAATATCGGCATATGATTCTGTGGGAGCTTTGTCGAGCTTCATCACTGATACGAGGGGGTCGGATTCTTCGGTGAGCACACCGACAACCGAGACCGACTTGTGGTGTAGAAGAATGCTAGCACCAGGCTCGAGAAGGTCTTTGTCAACGAACGACATGATCGAAACATAGTATTCCGGTCCAGTCGCACTCGAGACGATGGCGTGGTCATCGTCAATCAGCTCTTCCAGGTTTCCGACACCCATGGGGCTGCCTCTCATGTCATCAACCCGGCTTCTCTCATCGGCGTTCCGATCCATGATGTCGAGATCATTACGGTTCGCCGAATCCAGCGCAGCCTGGGCCTTGGTCTTGCGCAGGCGTTCCATATTCTCCACGTACTCTTCCTCTAGCAACAAATGGTCGTGGACTCGTTGCATTCGGAGGTATCGTAATTTACATCGTGACGTTGGGAAGATGTCTGGAAGCTTGGAGGCAGTACTCGGGCCGGCAGCCTTGCGCTTCTTACGTCCGAGACGGGTCGTAGGCGGCGGAGGAGGTTCGTATCTGGGCTTGTCCTTCTGCAGAGAAGCGAACCGTAAGCCGGCTGCTACCTGACAAGAAGACCACGGGGAGTATAGCATACCTTCTTGTCCTTCTCATCTCTTCCATCGCCACCGGGGCCTCCGCCGATGTTGGACTGCTGGTTACCCTGTGATGAAGATTGGTCAGATAAGTGACATCAGGAGCCGACAAGAGCTGTCAACAAGGGCCAACGCCGGGCACCAACCATAGTCCGAAACTGTGAGAAGCAGTAGGCTTCTTATAGACAACCTATGCAGGGGTGTGGGGAATGTAATGAAGAATTCGCGATGAGCGTGGATGGGGTGAAGAGATGGGGATGGGTGAAGGAGGATGGGGACGTGAAGCTGATGCGTTGCGCAGCTGGGAAGCTGTTGGTCGCCATCCGCTCGGGCCTTGGCGCCCGTCCAGCACATTTGGCAGCACGTGACGCGATCCGATCCGTACTTATAACATGCCTTGGTGCCTGAGGCGCTAGTGGCTGATCCCTGAGGCATCTCCCGCAAGCCCCTCTTGGGATCCTCCGGCCCAGCAGCCAAAAGTAGTCTGGCGCCAACCGAGCTGGGCCCGATCTGTAACAAAATGTACTGGCAGCTCAGTTCTACTCCGAACCGTCCAGGTAGCCCGACGGGTCATTTCCCCTATATTGCTTCTACAACTTGTTCCTTTATGTTAGTCCGGAACATATATTTCCGCTGTCATTCATATATATTCTAGCCGAACCCATCCCGTGACAGGGTTCGACCAAGTTCCTGTGATCTAATCTTGTTCGATTCAGTTGTTTAGCGCTCTTCAGTGATAGAGCGCTTACTTGCGCCCCGCCGAGAGCATTGATCCCCTCACTTTCGCCCATACTACAACGGCCTTTCCTAGTCCACTCTCATCAGATTAGGTGACGCTGTTACAGATCAGTTCTTGGTCTCCAGCGTTTATATTAATTACATCTGCTCCAATATTCTCTTCTTTTCCTCAACCTCCCTGCTACAGACCACTTGCGGGACTTCCTCGCCCTCTCGGTAGTTAGCTACTGTGAGGCTGACGAAGCTTTGACTATTGCCTCATCGTTCTTAGATCTTTTCTATTATTATTCTTCAACTGTCCAGACAATCCAAACCTACTTTCTTCGCTTCTTCAGAAAAGATAAAAATAACACAAGCTACCCGTTTTCCCGAGATTGTTCTCACGATGTCTGGCAATCGTGCGAGGCGTATCGCCAAAGAGATCGCCGACATTCACGCCGACACACAGTCGCAAATCACGGCTGAGCCACTGCACGGTGGTGAAGATCTCACGCATCTTCGAGGCACGTTCCCAGGACCTCCAGGAACACCCTACGAAGGTGGCACCTATACCATCGACATCAAAATCCCCAATGATTATCCATTTCGACCTCCTCATATGAAGTTTGTGACCAAGGTCTGGCATCCCAACGTTAGCAGTCAAACAGTGAGTCGCTCTAGTCATGCAAAGTTAGGTTAACCCCAGATTTGCTAACAAAGTGACTTGCCTAGGGTGCCATCTGCCTAGACACTCTTTCTACTGCGTGGTCACCGGTGCTCACCATCAAGTCTGCCCTTCTCTCACTGCAATCCCTGCTAAGCACCCCCGAACCCAAAGATCCTCAAGATGCCGAGGTCGCCACGATGCTCCTTCGGAGACCGCAGGAATTTGCACGGGTTGCTCAGGAGTGGGCTGTGATGTATGCAGGAGCTCCCAGAAGGCATGCAGGTGAAGGCAGTGGCGGTGTGACAGACGAAACTCTTCGACTACAGGAGGTCAAGTCGAAAGAAGAGCAGGAACAAGAGGATTTAAGCAAGTATGTACACGTGTGTAGGATCAAACATGCTCTGGCTAACCTTTCTGTGCAGATACGACGGCTACAACAAAGACTTGATCGACCGATTCTGTAACATGGGATTTGACGTTGACCGCGTTGTAGCCGCATTTAAATACTATGGCATTGATCGAATGGACGGGGAAGATTACGAGCTGGAGGAGGCGTACATGGGAGACATTACGGCGCGGCTCCTTGGTGAGCCGTAGTTAGTGTGATGTGACAGACGGTTCGGATGGCTTAGATTTTGCAATAGCGACGGTGCTAGGCGATTCAGTGGGGTTTGCTCTCTCGAATCTTGAGACCTCTTCGCACAAACATGACCAAGACATTTTCATTTCTCTTTTCTGAAGTCAGAACCCAGGCTGTGATGACCCATGTTTAATATATCCATTCGCTTTCTACATTTTTCGGCAGCATAGCTCAAGTCAGGATACTATTAGCCTTGCATTAACTCAATCAATACCTGTATGACTGAAGTTACAGTGCTTTCAAATCAATTGCCATCTCTTTTATATGATCTCAGGCAATCAGCAAACTGCAGTGGAGGTCTAATGTACGGAAGTAAAGGCAGCGGGCCTATCGATAAGCACGTGGATATGCGGCAAAGTCCGCTGCAGATCAGCTTTGACTTTCCGCCGTCCCCCAGAATCCTCGCGCAACAAGCACTTCCATCTTTAGCTACACCTATCGCGGTAGCGAACTCACTATATAGCTGTCTTTCAACATGATCGAAGACGAAATATACCGATCATCCTCCCAGTTCCGACTGTGGTCCTTCACCGAAGCATCACTGAAGCAATTACGAGCAACCACCAACGCCGTCGCGAGTGACCGAGTGCGAGCAGCTCTACGAAGAGCACAAGACGCCCGAAGATCAGCCACCTCCTCCACAACAGGCACACCAGCCCCGGGAAGTGATGCGGAGACTAAAGCAGCAGAAGACAAGCAGATTGAGTGCTTGACACCCGAAGAAGAGCAGCAAGTGGTGGACTACTACTCCGAACAAATCATACAACTAGGAGAGAACTACAAACCACCACTTCCCACCATCGTGAGAGTACGAGCTTCCCTCCTACCCCATATCCCAGTCCCTCAAACCCCCCAATACTAACATACCCAACCCAACCCCAAAGGCCACCGCAATCCAATACCTCCGCCGCTTCTACCTCACCAACTCCCCAATGACCTACCACCCAAAACAAATCATGCCATGCGCCCTCTTCCTCGCCACCAAAACCGACAACTACTACCTCTCCCTACGACAATTCGCCGAAGGCGTCCCCGGCCAAACCTCCGCCGACGACATCATCGCCCCAGAATTCATCGTCATGCAAAGCCTCCGCTTCACCTTCGACGTGCGCCACCCCTTCCGCGGCCTAGAAGGCGGCATCATGGAACTCCGCGCCATATCCCAAGGCCAAGGCCAACCAGCACCACACCTCCAACCCTCCCAAACACCAGAAGACCTCCGCAGAGCTCTCCTCTCCCTCTCCCCTTCCTCCGCCACCGCAAACACCATGAACGACCGCATCTCCCGCGCCCACCACTCCACCCGCGAGATCCTCAAAACAGCCGCCCAAATCACAGACGCCTACTTCCTCTACACCCCAGCCCAAATATGGCTCTCGGCATTCCTCCTCGCCGATCGCCCCTTGGCTGAATTCTACCTCGACACGAAACTAGGCGGTCCAATCATATCATCATCCAACCATGATCAAAATCCCCTCTACGCCCTGCGCACGAAACTCCTCACCACCCTCGCAAACTGCTCCGCCCTCCTCCAAGCATACAAACCCTTCGCGTCCGACGAAGCCCGCATGAAGACCCTGAAACGCATCGTCGGCAAGAAACTCTATCATTGCCAGAACCCAGAGAAGGCCAATATCGCAGGCCAGAAACGCATCCCTGCCGCTGCCGCTGCCGCAGCAGCAGCCGCAGCAGGCGAGTCAGGGACATCAGAAAGCGAAATGGAGCGTCTAGCGAAGAAGCGGAAGCTAGAGCGGGGAAGTGAGACGACGAAAGATCTCTTCGGAGGGGAATTAGTCACGCAAAGGACGAAGGAGAGGCAGATGGAGGGTGATCAGCAGCAATAGCAGCAGCAGCAATAGCAGTAATAGTGAACCTTATGGTTCAAGTATAATTTCTATACTATAGTTGTTATTATTATTGTTAGCTTTTTGGGGCGACGACGACGTTGGTGAATTTGTTGTTTTGAGCGTGCAGATAGGCGCAATAGATGGAAAAGCATGTTATTATTTATTAATTAGTCTTCTTTAATATTGGAAAGAAAGTGAGTTTAAGTGTCTCAGTTGGATTTGGTAAATTATACTAGTACTGTATGTATATTGGAACATGATGTATTAGATGACCTCTACTTACTATGCGTCCAGACTTTTATATACTAGTACCTAGTACTAGTATAGTTACTGTGGGTACGGCTACCTCGGTGAGTGTACATACTACCACCATTGGGCTCAGAGACCTTAGTAGTTCAGGTGTGAGTTATTTATAGTTATAGTTGTGATACGAGGGAAACCACCCTACACGAGTATGTATGTCTACGATAACGGAAAGAAGTATAGCAAGGGAATAATATCAAATTGAAACCCTCAAACGCTCAAGTCTAGTTAGGTTGGGGGGAGTGACGATGAAGGTATGAAAAGATGAAACACAGACCATCTAAAACAAAGCACCCAAATGTGTAGTAGTAGTAATGAGCAAAGATATCTCCAGGTATTTGAAAAAAAGGAAAAATAGTAGAAAAAACGGATAACCTTCCGCGCGAATGTCATTCATCAGGATGGTTCATCTCTCCTGTAACGGTAAAGAGAAACTTTTTTCCTTCCCCTTACAAGCCTTTTTTATATTTGCATGTGTGTGTCGTCTCGAACATTCCAATCATAAACAAGAAGATTTAATCACTTCTTCCTTCTTTTTCAGTGGTTTGTACTTTAGACAGCACCCTCGGAAATCATCTTCTTGCGGAGGTGGTTCTTGTACTCGCCGATAGTACCGTTCCAGCGGGTGACGGTCTTGTTCTCGCAGACCATGATGTCCTTGGCGATCTTGTCAAGGAGACGGAAGTCGTGGGACACGACGACAACACCACCGCTGAAAGCGTTGATGGCATCGGCCAAACTGTCAATGGTGGGGATATCCAGACCGTTGGTAGGCTCGTCCAGCAGGATCATGTTAGGCGACTCGATAGCCAACAGGGCGAAGACGATACGAGACTTCTGACCCTCGGACAGAGTACCCATGAGGGCAGTCTGGGACTCGCCGCTGAGACCGTAACGGCCCAGCTGCTGACGCCAGTACTGGTAGTCCTGGGACTTCTCGGGGAACTTGTCACGGACGAACTCGAGGGCAGACTTGGTCAGATCCAGCTGCTCAGCAGAGTGCTGACTGTACATGCCCAGCTTCAAGTGAGTGTGACGGGAAACACGGCCACCGATGGGGCTCAGCTTGCCGGTCATGATGCGCAGCAGAGTGGACTTTCCGACACCGTTGGGTCCGACAAGGGCTGTGCGGGAGTCCATGTCGACACCGAAGTCGAGGTGCTCGTACAGGGTGTCCTCCCACTTGCCAGAGTAGGAGAAAGAGACGTCGTCGAAGGACAGAACGGGAGGAGGAAGCTTCTCAACATCGGCGAAGCGGAAACTGAAGACTCTGTCGGGGATGACGGGCTGGATGAAACCATCGGCCTCCATCTTGTCCAGGATCTTCTGACGGGACTTGGCCTGTCTGACCAAGTTGGCGTAGGTACCGGCGGAAGCAATGAACTTCTTGATGTGAGCAATTTCTTCCTGCTGCTTGTTGTAGGCCTTCATCTGGTTCGTCTCCTGTTCGGCACGAGTCTTGTGGTAAGAGTCGTAGTTACCACCGTAGTAGAGGAGCTGCTTCATGCGCATGTCGATCATGTTGGTGCAGACACCGTTGAGGAAGTCCATGGAGTGGGAGACGAGGATCAGGGTACGCTCCCACTTCTTGAGGTATTCTTCCAACCACACACAGGCCTCGAGATCCAAGTGAGCAGTGGGGTCGTCGAGCAGAAGCAGAGAGGGCTTGACGAAGAGGGCCTTGGCAAGGGCCACACGCATACGCCAACCACCAGACATGTCCTTAGTCTTCTTGTGGATGGTCTGCTTGTTGAAACCCAGACCGGTCAAGATCAGGGAGGCACGGGTGTGGAAAGTCGAGGGATCCATCTTGTCCATGCGCTGCAGAGGAGGTTAAAACAGAGCAAAGAGGGATGAAGAGATGGAGAGGGGAAAACTCACGTCGTACAGATCCTCGAGGATAGGAGAGTCAGGACCCTCCCTCTCAAGAATTTCTTCGGCCTGCTTCTCCATGCGGTCGAGCTGGTTCTGAGCCTCGGTGACAACCCACTCAAGGGCACCGAGCTCACTGGGAGGAGCACCTTCGTTCAGGAGGTAGATATCAATGTGCTCGGGGATGGGGTATTCGCGGGTGGCGATGGACTTGAGGATAGTAGACTTTCCGCAGCCGTTCTCACCGAGGAGACCGTAACGACGACCGAAGTTCAGTTCGAGAGTCGAGTCGGTGATGAGAACCTTTCCGTGGAACACCAGGGAGGCGGAAGTGACCTTGACGTCGCGGGAGGAGGGCAGAGAAGCAAGGACACCGGTCGTGACACGATCGGAGAGACCGTGCTTGTCCATCTGAGCAGTCAACTTCTCAACCTCCTTCATCTTCTCGTCGGTGGTGGCAGGCTGGTCATCGCCGCCCTCACCGTCGACGACGGGGTCGTCCTTCTTGCCCTTGGTGGGCTTCTTCTTGTCGGCGCCATCGGCGGCACGCTTTGCCAAACGAGCGGCTTTGGAGGCAGAAACCATCTTGTCGAATAAGCGAGTGGTTGATGGGAGGAGAGGAGAGAGGAGAGGAGGGGGGAGGTGGTGGTGGGTAGGGTAAGGCGGAAAGGGAAGAGGAAGGGACGGTCAGGAAGCCTAGATAAAAGCTGTCCGATGAAGGCGAGAGTGAAAAGGGAAAAAAAGAACCTGAGCGAAAGGTGGACCAGTAATAGCGGGGGGTGGGAGGGGGGGCGACCGAAAGTCTTCTTGTGAGTGGGGGGTGGTTCCTTGGATAGCCCTTATCGATAGGCTGGCCAGGCAAAAAAAGAAGAAGACAAGTGATCGAATGAGATCGCTCTCACAAAAAGATGGGGATCTCAAAGGGAGAAAAAAGATGAACAGATGGATTGATATATACGAGCAGATATACTACTCCGACTCAATACACAAGGGAGACTCCCGTTGAAGTTGTAGGAACAGAAGAATCGACAACGAAGAATCGATGAATGGATGGTTGTTTTTGCCTCGAAAATTCCTTCAGTGGGCGGCTGAGCCTCGCGCTGATTGGCTGCACGACGTCACTGCACGGGACGTGGCGCACGCTTGCCGCTTTGGGCATCCACAGTCACGTGCTTCAGAGCCTTGCGCCCAAGGCAGGCCAAGATAATGGTCAGCAGTACTCCACCAGATAGTTGAGTTATAGAAGATGAGTAACTATGAATCATTCCAACAATACGGGATTAACCAACGCAACGGAAGTAGTCCACTACATGACACCGTTGCATTATGGATAAACTATGCCCAGCAGCAAGTCGTAAAGAAGCAAACAAAATAGCCATCGTGAATCCCCGTATTCGACTCGATTCGTAATTGGCTGGAGACTCTGTCGCGCATAGTAGTACTACTAATTGGCCATGTCCAGCCAACCTACTTTCAGCCTCATCTACAAACATCCAAACTTAGTCTGTTATTCTCTGTTGCACGACATGAATTGCTGTTATTAATTGGTCGGAAACCTTCTCCTGGGCTTTTGGGTTTCAAGCCAGGCAACTTCCGGCCTCTCTAATATTATGTATGTCTATAATCGTTCGCTAATTCTTTTCAACACTACCATCTCCTGCTCCGTAACCGTGATGTTGTCTGGTAACATGACACTCCCTTTTTCAATAACAATATGGGTCGGAACGCCGGGAAAAGTATCGTGAGATTGAACGGACGCAACACTTCCCTCTTTGGCCTCCCGGGCGCTTTCGGTGTCGTCGGGCTTGGGTCGTTCCAAAGACTGTGGTGTCCACCAGTAGATAGGGAAGCGACGTTGAATGTTGTTGATCAACAAGGCCACCGCCTGCATAAGCACACAGCCAAGCAGCATAATTGGGATTAAGTACCATCCCACCTCGTAGGATTGCGTGACGGCAAGAAGAGCGGTGGCGCCGGCAGGGGGATGGACCGTGTTTGTGATCGTCATTATGGCCGTCGTGATGGCACACGCCAGAGCACCGCCGACTTGCGGCATAGAGTGGGCATTCTCGTTCAGCGCGAAGAGCTTGCCTATGACAACGCCGACGAAACTAGCAATAATCTGACTCAGGACGGCATTTCGTGGTTGGGCAAAGGGCGATTCGATGGCGGAGAATTCCAAGACAGCAGCAGCACCCTGTGAGGTGGTTAGTCGATATTGAAAAGCAGTGGTGGAGTCCGGGGTCTCAAGAGTGACGTACAAAACTGGCCACGATGATTGGCGCATGGTGAGCTTGGAATGATGGAACATGTTCAGACACCTCCGCTACTACGAGCACACCACAGAAGACCCCGATCATAGACCAGAAGGCGATCACAAGATTTCCCAGGGGTTTCGGGGCGAGAGTCTTCCTGTACCCGAAGAACCGAGAGATCGGCTGGGGCAGATGGCGCCATGGTGGAGGCGGCAGATATGGGTTGAGAAAGGCATCGATGTCCACATGTAGTCGAGAGAAGTCGATGCGCTGGAGCATAGACGCTGACGGAGATTTCTGCGCACTCATCCTTCAGCACTGTCGGTAACCAGCCCGGACAGTCGTAAAGCACGCAACGCGGCTCGCCACCCTAATGTATATAAAGTCAGATACAGCCGTCAAACATGGAAAAGCAGGCCATTGAATATGGAAAACGTCACGAATGAAGAGGCAACCAAGCACACACATTCGAGGAGAAATGACAGACGCAAAATTTGGCCTATGGCCATGCATTGACACCCATCAAGCGACCAGGCATCAGTTTGATTAAATGGAGTCCCGACGGGTCCATGTCAGGGGGGGGCCGCGAGGACAAAAACCTACCTTGGACTACGTGGATTGACAGGAGGTGACAGAGAAGCTAAATATAAACCGAGGAATCCCATTGGAGGTTTGAAACAGACGAAGAGCGAGTGGACAAGGCCATTATGGGGTTCCTCGAAATTAAAATACTAGGATGGGGGCCATCCGGCCAGCACTGAGGAGAGCTGGAAAGGTCGGCACGCAAAACGAGGTCTCCTACATTGTAACCATGAGGATCTCCGCGGAAGCGGGTAGTCAGAGGGCGAGAATGCAGTGCTGAGTTGGAGATGACCATTGATGCCCTGGAAAGAGAGGGACAGAGGCCCTTTTGCTGGCTGGTCCAAGGGATCTTTCTGCCACTCATGATATTCGCGTTGGGTAATGGAAACTCCGGTTTCAGTTTAGCGTCGGGGCAGCTGACGATGAGGTCACTTGTCTGTAATATTACGCCGACTGTTACCCGAGTCCGGCTGTCTTTCCCCTCAAATCACCCCCTGTTTCATGGGCACATAGTGGTATCGGGATTTCAGACCGCGTAACATACCTCATTCCCGCCCAGACTTGAGTAATCGTCGATCAATCTGGGGTCCCCAAAAACATGGCGCCGGCGAACCCTCGCGCCTTTCCTCGTAAAACCCTTCGTGAGGGGAAATGAGGGGGAGTTGGAGACACTGTTGAGACCAGACTGTATAGGGATGTCTATCCTTGGAGTAGTTCCTCTATACAATAGTCGAAAACTCGCCTGCAGCAGGTGGAGCACACTACGGAGTAATATTTAGTAACCTTGAGGATCACTGCGACATCTTTTCCTACTAAGAGAAACACTAGCTGAAGGCTTCACACTGCCACTTGTACAATACAAAATCAATTCTATCCATCATTAAATCATGACCCGTGAGAGGCACACTATTTACGCAAGATTTATACATCCAGGGTCTTTCCCTGCTTCGAGCTCTCCTGAGCTAACTCAATCAGCCGGATCACTTCACGAGCCTCGGCTCCGCTGGCTGGGAGATCACCCTCTCCACCAAGAGCCCGCGCCAGCTTCCGGTAGTATTCCGTCCAGGTCGGGGGCTCTACGGTGGGCATGACTTCCTTGACGGGCTTACCATCCTGGATGGTCGTGAGAGTGCCTAGCAGACTGTCAGCATGTTGCCTTGTATCAAAAGGTATAATCTTTGGCTTACCGTATCTCTCAGAAGGCTCGCGGCCATATCCGCTGTCACCTGGCTTCACACCAGACTTAAGCTGCTCTTCCTGGACATCGAGATGGAACTATCGACGTGTACACATCAGTATTCTGCTACCCATCGACACCTAGAGTGGAAGACCGTTGTCTCACCTTCTTGAAACTACCCTTCTCACCACGAACCCAGAAGCGCAGTTGCTCCTCTTCCGGGCTGACGACACCAGCCTTGGCCGTGACAAGCACACCCTTGGGGTAGTGGAGCAGAACAGTGAAAGAGTCCTCAAAACCAGAAGTGTTGACCTCGCGCTGGGAACCAATGAATCCAGTCACGCGCTCCGGCTTGCCAAGCAGGTGCACGGCCTGGTCCAAGAGGTGGGCGCCCAGGTCATAAATGGCGCTACCACCGGGGATGACCTTGTTCTTCCACTTAGAAACATCCGGGGAGGGCTCCTGGGGACGATGACGGTCGAAGTGAGTCTCGAACTCCACCACACGGCCAAGAGAGCCGTTCTTCACGAGCTTCGACAGAGTCACGAAATCGGCATCCCACCGGCGATCTACCAAATATTATTATCAGATCATGTTTTCCCGGATCGGCGATAGGGTAAAGCAACGTACTTTGGTACACGGCCAGGAGCTTGTTCTGCTTCTGGGCCAGAGCAACCAGCTCATCGGCTTCCTGAGTGGTGGGGGTGAAGGGCTTCTCGCAGACAACTGTTGCAAGAAAACGTCAGCACTCATGCGAAGTCAACTACTACATGTGGCTGTCTGGAAGCTTACCGTGCTTTCCATTTTCCAGGGCCAGCTTGGCCAAGGCGTAATGCGAATCGGGAGCGGTGGTGATGACCACCACCTGGACACCCTCATCCTTGACCATCTCCTCGGTGGTCCTGTAGGACTTGATTCCGGGGTGGTCCTTCTCGGCATCGTCATCGGGCTTGGGGGTGCGCTGCACAACAGCGGTGATCTTGAATTGAGGCACTTCCTGAATGAAGGGAATGTGGAAGGTCTTGGCACTGAAGCCATAACCCACAATTCCGACGTTCCAGGTCTTTGAAGCCATGATGGGTGGTGGTACTTGCGATGGGTTGGGGGTATATCTTGAAGAGGATAGGGAGGACAGTGAACAATGGACAATGGGGAAACGGAGGGAATTCTCTGCTTATATACGCTATGGATGGATATTCGTCTAAGGATTACAAATGGAGCAAACCCGCCTTATTTTCCCCTCCATCGCAACTAAGTGGCCATTTATGACTGCTGGCGCGGGGGAAGGTCCTGGCGACGGCAACCTTTGGGTCGGGCGGGGCACGCGGCAAAAGCCGATGTCTCAATGCGTCACTTTCAATTCTCGGAATTCATTCTGCGCTATCGCCGATGCTTCATGAGGCCACTCGGTCCAGCCTTTGCAGGTAGCCACCAAGAAACCAAGTCTCTCAACTTCTATCCTTAGGACCCTTTCATTCTTGGATCCCCACACATCGGCTCACCTCGATCGCGTCCTGCAGATTTCGCATGTCAGTGAAATGCCCACCCCTCATCCCTCATTCACTTCCCCGGAAATACGGGTGAAACTCACTCGTGTGGTCTCGGGTTTGGCCAATTTGCTCTCATACACCAGATTCGGGTTTCCGGTCAGCTCAAACCGGGGAGTCGCATCCGTACCCATGAATGGCCTGTATGATCTCTGTGGCAGGCCGGTTATGTCATACGCCTGGACCGCTCCCTTCTTGGCCGCTTCACGCTTCTGCTCCACTGTGCTGCGGACATACTCCAAATACGGCGGGTTGCCGGGGTAGAGCACGTTGTCCGCCACCACTACTGAAACCCCGGGGACAATCTTGCCGAGTTGCTCGCAGAGCTTCAAATCGGCGAGATATGCGGGCTTATAATGGTCGATCAGCATCACTTCCACCTGCTTGACTTTGCCGCTCGAGAAAAGTTTGTCGAGGCACAAATCGCTTCGGCCAACGAGAATCGTAACAAAGTCGCGCAAGCCCGCCAGTTCAAGCAGCATGTTCGCAATGGCCGCGAATTCGGGGTTCAGCTCTAGACTATAATAGTGCCGTCCGCCGGCCCGGCGCACGGCATCTCCGAACAGAATGGCCGAATAACCAACATAACCACCAAGCTCAATCATGACTTCGGGCTTCTTTTCCTCGATGATGTCGACGATGAATTTGCCCTTGTCCCGACCGATGTTCATGAAGTGGTACGTTATACCGAATTCTTCGATCAGATCCAGGATCCTGGCAGGGTTGCCCTGGATCTCATCCCGGTTTGGTTGGTCATAGATGAAGTGAAGCAACTTCAGCTCCCGACCTTCCTCGCGCTGTCGAACAGTCAGTTATCCGAATAGAGCGCAACTCGTCGGAGTCTATGGCGCAAGCTTACGGAAAGTTCAACCGGAGGAGGGTTAGGAGGGGCTTCGGGGGTAGCACTATCACCCATGGTCGATAACAGGCGCTGCGTGAAAGGCGAATGAGGTTGGGAAGATCTAGGGAGAGTAAAGGGAGAGCGTGAACACTGAAGCCATGCGTGAGGGACAGCAGGATATTTAAGAGCGCTGAAAGAGGCGCGGACTAGTCGATGCGGCACCAACGTGGACCGTTGTAGCTGATAAGGCGCATATGTCGCCATCCGGCAGGGGGCCACACCCATGATGATCGCATTATGAGATCCATGGAATGGTAAGAGCGAATAAGCGATGCTATCCTATCCCTAGTGGCGGACGCAAGGGTGCACGGCATCGCAAATCCCGGATAGTCGGAGATGGTTACCACATCGGTGCAGATCGGTCCAGTAAGGTGTGGTCCCGGTTCCCCCGTTGAATCGTCACAGGACCTGTAGCTGCCATCTGATAAAGTTTCACCCCTCATCTGACTTATCGAGAAAGCATTTTCAGTCCATATTCGGCGACTCCGATGGTAAGGCCAGAAGACCCATGTAGGCGCGGGCCATGTATGGTGTGTGGGGAACGCAGAATAGGAACAGGGAGACAATGCAAGTACCACTTCAACAATACAAACGTGGAGGGCGTGCCCCTGGTCGAGAAGGAGACGATACGAGTCTAGTTCCGCATAAAAGCAGTCCCGTGCTCAACCTCGAAAGTTAACCTCATTGAGAAGGGCACGGTCCCATAAAGCGGCGTTATTGAGGGCTAGTGGAAACAAAGCACTCGCTCTGAATCTGAAACCCGACATGGTTCAGGACACGCCACGATCCACGTTTTACATCTCCACCATGGTCGGATCGCATTGAACCTGCTAGGCTGCTACTCCCTGTGTGACGCCGATCCAACTTTTTTTCAAGTAGCTAAGCTCCACCATAGAATAGGTTCGAGGCTTGTTCATAGGGCAGTCGCCTTGTATACGGACATGCCATGGTAAAGTGCTTGGAAAGAGCTCCGTACCGGATCTATCCCTTCGTCCGCATCCGCCGCCGGCCATGGAATCTCCGACGGACGATCGGAAATGTCACTGTGCAGTTACTGCATTGGGTAGGTTGCGAGCGGCTTTCAGCTGCTTTACTTTTCCTT